GATAATTTAGTTCCTGTCACAGATTTTCTAAAAATGGGGAGCAACTTCTCGAACCAATACGATGTGAGGAATGTAGTGCCAATAAATGAAACAAAATAATGAAATGGCACTTTTTTTTAAAGGGGCACTTGACCGATTTATCATATGAAGTTCAGTTTGGGCGTCATGCGGAATAGAACTCAACCTGTGAAAACAATAATGCTTTCTGTGGCTCTAAAGGAAGCTTTCTAAAGTCTGAGAAAATAACCCTGGTGATGTCATCAACCATTGGTACAAACTTAGAGCTTGAAGATCGAAAGAAGTGAGCATTTACAACACTAGGAGGTAACGGAAGACGCTATAGAGATGCAATATGGGAAGTGTAGGATCCAGTGCTATTGGAGCATGACATGGTAAGGACTAAAAGTTGGGATATCTCGTCCTTTGCTGCATCAATTTTGACCGTTCTTTCTATCATCGGTCTCTTACGAGTCTTTCAACTTAATATCCCTTCAAGAAAATAACATTTTAGGGCTCAAAAAAGTGACAAATCAGCTTGCTAAGAGTCTATCATTCTAATATTTCTCATCAGACACTGGCAGAACCTCAATGAATAAAAGCAAAATCAACCACACAAAGTGTCAAAATTTAACTAATAAGAAACAGAAGAAACCTTCTCCAGCAGAAAGACTGGAAACAGGGGGAAACTGCTAGCCTGGCACTGTTTAACGTTAACAAAATCCGGCACCTCTTAAAATCACTTTTTTTGACACTTGATATCTTATTTGTCTAATCCACATCCTGGTGTCTTAGTTGCCACTTTAGACATAGCCAGACTAGCTGTTTCACCCAATTTCCAGACTTTATGCTAAGCTAAGCTAAGCTAACAACCTTTAGGCTGTAAATGTAAATTAAAGAATTATCTGGTACTCAATAACAAAATAAGTTGTTTACAGTGTATCCTAAGAAAATTTCAGGACAGTTATGTCTGAAAGTAAACAGCCACATGGACACGTCAATGAGCCTCAGCCCTTCCCTTCTTGTTCACCGTTGCCTAAGAATGCAATGGTGGCCGGCACTGACTCACCTGGTGGAGTATCGCGCGCACACACCAGCCCCCCGCTCTCCACTCACTCACCTCCTTCCCCTCCCACTGAGTTCACCCTGCACTGCAGTTCAAAGTGGTTTTGCCTGTCTAGCCTTGGCGTTTAATGTTTAAGTATTGGGAGCGGCTGGAGAGTGCAAATAAAATGCCTTTACAGACTCCGGGGCACGCTGAGGGCTGTGATTCCAGATACTGTATTGTGAAATTCCCATTGTGCTTGACGGAGTATAGCCTCAGGGTACCTGAATCTGTTCAGCTGAATTTGGCCTCTTTACTTCTTCATAATACTTGAGGCGTGCGGCTTAGATAAACCATTTAGAGGGAAGATTATTGAAACTTCATTATGCAGACAAAAGAGGACACATGTTCAAGGGATAAAAGGCAACGTGTCCGTGCTATAAACTGTTTGTCAAAAGTTCAAAACAGGATAAAAGGTTTGAATGCGAACCCCACCTCTAAGAGAAAACCACAATGAGTTGTGGTATGGCCGGCTTTCTGTTGGGCTGGAAGGAAGGAAACCCTGCTTGCAGCAAAGGAAAACAACACAGAGAGCCTGACACTACTTATATGTTTGTGCGTGATTATTCTGTAGTTCTAATCCGTCTAACAATGTTACAAAACATTCAGACAGGAGGAGGCTTTAAAGCAGTAATTGGGGGGGACTTACACGGGTAAAACGCAGCTCAACCACTTCTAGTTGCATCTCGCTCGTGCTTGATCGAGACTGTGGCACAAGAAATCAAACATGGGTGTGGATTTAGTCTGATTCGAAGCATATCTCTTAATTCCCTTGAATGTCAGGCTTTTTAGAGAACGAGTGTAACAGAGCAGATGTAGGTGTCTCAGACCGGATAGAGGACTGTGTCAGGGGACGTGAGGTCTGTGTGTTTTTGGGGTGGGGGCACAGGTTCTGATGTGACACAGAAGGAGCCTGAAAACTGATGACTCACTGGCCGCTTTCACGCCTCACGCTGGATTAGCCATCACATGCAATAGGCTGCTTAATATGAATTGTGTAATGCCCTCAATCCCTGCAGAATTATTTCATAAAATCAGCCTCTGTTTTGCTGCGTCACCTTCACATGCAAAAACCAAGGTAAATGTAAATAAAAGAGTAACAGAATGTTGTATAACAGCACTCATATGGTATTTTGAAAGCTGTTAATGCATTGCATTTGTGCAAGTTTCCAAAAAACTGCTTATGTTGTCAGGTGAACAATTTTCAGTTTGCTTGTTCTAACTCTAATTTGCAGGATTACGTACTCCTTTGTGGTTTAGCTGCTGGGCTTTTAAAATCCTTTCAAACCCTATTTGGCAAATGTCTATTTTGAGGTTGAAATGCAAACTCTAAATTGTCCATAAGTGTGTAGATATATTATTCTTGCTTGTGTGTTAACCCTTTGCTAGTCTCCTGGCCTGTCCAGGGTGTTTACATCCCAGCATGCATTCACCCTGAACAGGAGTGACCCAGTTTCAGTCCAGAACAGAAATAAGCAGGTATTGCAAGTATGTTTAGTGTTTGTTTTAGGATGTTTGAGACCGTTTCAAGATAAGTTCTCAATCAGAACTTCATATACTAAATTGGCCTTAGATATTTTTGATTAATTGTCTAAACTGTCTGCCATGATTTCTACTGCCTTTAGTTGCAAACTCCACCCATCTGGCACTGGAGGAGGCCAAAACCAAACAATGAAGTGTAATGTTTGCAAATACTATTTGCCCCGGGTCGGGCAGATAGATGGTTGGTTTCCTCTGTGGGAGAAACTCAAGTTCAAATGCAGTCTGTCACATCAGCACACCTTGCTCTTTAGGCTGCATTATTCATCGCAATCTCTGCATTATTCATTTCACTTAGCATCACATTTTGTCACTTGGTTCATTTACAAAGAAACCCTTAAAGTCTCTACAATCATAACAATAATAATTACGATCATATCATGCTTTATTGCATGCGAGGACTGAGGCCTCTATGGACCCTCGCTGCCTCACCCCCCTCCCGTCTGTGGTTTTGAGGTGTTTGTGTGGCATGCCAGGTTTTTATCTCAGAGCTGTGACACCTGAACCAAGACTCTGACCTGGGGCCAAACAGAGCCTCCGGTGTCCCTCAGGGCACCACAACTGCTGTCAGCTCTGTGTTTGAACAGTACCTCTGCAAAAAAAACTGCTGAAATATGTCTAGAAAAGACATCTACATGTCAATTCAGCGACGTGTGCACTGGAAGCCATCACTGGTAGTGGTGCAGTATCTTGGTTGGGGGTTACACGGCAGTGGGCCAAGTGCACAAGCCGTCTTTTGGCCAAGATTTGATGTTCATGATCTCAGTCAGCGGCAGGCAGTCTCACCTGCCATGGTGCTGCGGTGCTGCGAGCCTGGCACAGACTGAACACCACCAGACTGGAGGTCAGCCAGAGTGAGGTTTAATGAGACTGAAGCCACACCAAAGGCTGGCATATCTGTCCTCACTTCAGAGCACCTGTGCCACACTGTCAGCGTGATGAGAGCTAAAGTTGCCCCCAAAACAGCCTCTCTTCCTGTAATTACTCTAACAGTTGGTTTGTTATCACACACATAATTTGCCTTCCTGAAACATTTGAAATATCTGCTTTCGTCTGAACCGATATGCCTTGAATGTGGGATACAGTGGTGTTGTATGTGTGATGGTACCATGCTGCATTTAATCAACAACACTAAACTATTTCCCAACTGGCTATAATCACAGGAATATAACTATATGTGTGTTTTGGGGTTAAAAACAACTCGGGAAGGTTGGTGATTGAAATCCAATCTAATAGGGGTGGAGAATTAATTACAGAAGTGCTGGGTGTTACTGCTTATGAGTGCGAGAAGCCCCCTCTCCTCCCCTTCTCCTTTAAAGGAGTAAAGAGGAAGTTACAGTTGGGTGCAAACATAAATGTCTGCCACAACTATGGAATACAATGGGGTACCAATGCTTAATCTGTCAATGAAGTGGACTTTGGAAGGAAGAGATTGTGTAGGATAACCTATGGAGTGATCTTTGCGGAACATTTTAGGCCTAAATAGATTGGTTCCAATGAGAATTGGCCATAGATGAGTCGGACAGCCTGGAATGCGTTCTCTAAAGCCTCATCCATAGAAGCCTGTAAGTCTGTCCCGTTCCTCATTCTTACGGAGTCTACTTTATGTTGTGAGTCAGAGAAGTGTGAATATGCACTGTCATTATATCAATATAGGTCTAGAGGAAATAAAAACGAATCGGAGGAAATATTAATTTAAAGAATAAAATGCTTTGACGAGTACGGGGGCGCAACAAGGACGCACAGTGCACGAGCTGCGCAGGAATTAGTGCAGGTCTATTTTCAAGTTTTACTGAAATTTCAAAGAATTGAGAAGTGTCAAATCAGATTTCTTTAGACTTCGATTAACCTAAATGTTATGAAACGTCTCTAAAGCCATGTCCGTGCGTTCATGTTGTTTTAAAGAGGAAACTGTTCCACCAATCTCATTATTTGTACAGTAAGTACACTCTTCATTGTGTTTTTCATATATTTGGAGGATACGAGGTCACAGCCAAATCATCCAGCGCAGTCGCGGGCCATGCGCGCGTCCAAGAGCAGTTTTATTCTCCTGGGAAATGCATTCTGCGCGGAAAGTTATCCCAGACGCAGTTCAATTACTGCACACGTACTGAAATCACTTCACCTAACTACACTGCTTCAGATTTGAGCCCAGCACTGAGCAAGTGCTCCTGTCTGTCCTTTCCTGTGAAATCTGAAAAAATGGAAGGGTGAAAAAAGACGGTTTATAATTGATGTTTTCCCATGGAACAGCCCCTCCTCCCCGCAACACAGGCTAACCCTCAGGTGGAAGAAATCTTTTTTTGTGGGATAACATCAGGAGGGTTTGTCTAGGCGAGCCAATCAAATCCCTCCTCTGCAATAGATCGGTGCTATAATACAAAGCAGTAAAAGCGGTCGCCTCACACAAGCGGCTGCAGCTCGACTAGAGATCCCGTGGCTTTTAATTCCTTCACTACTTTTTTTTTTTTAAACCCTCCTTCGATGTGCCCCGTTATTACCATTTGTCTGAGGCGTTCATTTCCGCACCTGCCACAGTAGAGACCAGGCGAAGGCGAAGTAGAGGAGGAGACAAGGGCATTGCGAGAGCCGGGAGAGGCAGACGGTATAGAGATAGCAGCGGCGACTCGTTTGAGATCTTATAAAGGACAAAAAGAAAATGCTGCTCTGGACCAGAATCGTATTGGTCGGTCTCATCTGCTTGTCCTTGGTGTCCTCTGGGATGGGATGCGGACCGGGCAGGGGCTACGGCAGGAGAAGACACCCGAAGAAGCTGACACCTCTTGCGTACAAGCAGTTCATCCCCAACGTGGCGGAGAAGACCCTCGGGGCAAGCGGTAGATACGAAGGCAAGATCACAAGAAACTCCGAGCGATTTAAAGAGCTGACTCCCAATTATAACACAGACATCATATTCAAGGATGAGGAGAACACCGGTGCCGACAGGCTAATGACTCAGGTAAGGAGACAGAACCTTTTTTTTTCTACCCTTACTGCCCGTCTCCTAACGCACCATCACTGCGCACTGCAACAACCTCCTTGTCAGACTGATTGCGCACCTTAAGGGAAGTCTGTTTTACCCGCTGCTGAACTCTTCACACTGAGCCCTTTTTTTAACTTCCCTGTAAAAGCAGATGCGCTTTATGCACCAGGCACGGGAGTTTTCAAAGGCTGCAGGCTCTGAAAGCGAATGCAGAAATCCAGCTGGAGAAGTGATGTGCAGGCGGACAGTCAGGACACTCGGCCTTCATGATTGTGACAGTGTATTTAAAATATTAATGTGCCCCTCTCCTCATATCTATATTTGTATCTTTTGTGAGGCTCTATTTGTTGTCTTGCGGACGCACGTTCACGTTACATTACATGTCGGGAGGACATTCAGCATGTTTTTGCCTAATTAAGCTTTACATTGCGGCTCGTTTTAAGCGCGTTTGTCTTTATTCCAGCCCTGAACACACAGAGCTGGGGATGCGCACCGCTTCAAACAGCCGGGTTTATTCAGGCATGGCGTGGCTCATTCAGACATTTTCTCGCACAGGCTGCTGTAATTCAGCCTTTTCGCATGATGTGCACCAGCGCATGAAAACAGTGACATGTTTTTGAGAGTGTTCTGAACACTATCAGGACTTCATACACGGGTGGGACTCGGTCAATTATAGGAGCACAGCGCGCATGGATGATGACATCTTTTTTTAATACTCCATCCTAATGTAGGCAGTTAGTTATCAAAGCTCACAGCTCGTGCTGTACAGATAAGACGAGGCTCACAACACGTCGGGGAGAATTATATCGTGGTTGCAGGATGCCGCGTCTCTTCAGCATGACTTTTAGCACTCAGATGCTGGTGAATTATTAAAAGCGCTTGGGTGATATTGGCTCAGCAATAATAAAATGCCGCTGGTGATGGTGATGGTGGTGCTGGTGGTGATGAAGCCAGGCGCGCGCCGGAGTCCCTGAACCCGTGCCTCGCACCATGCATGAGCACGAGCTCCGATGAAATATTCACTGTGCGTGCGGTCTCGGCGTCCCTCTCAGCCCTCCCCACATCTCCTCTGTGATACACCTATAGGTTCACATACACACAGAGATGATGAAATTACAGGCGCGTGGGGATGTGATTCCCAAACTGGGGTACTGGGGTACTGGGGTTCAGGGGACCCCCCCCCCCCCCCCCTCGGATCCTCGTTGAGGTTCCACGGGCTCCAGAAAAAAAAGGTGGATAATTTGATTTCACTGTTATTTCATTCATCTATGAGAATATTGAGTAACATGGATCTGCAAAGCTGTCATCTTAGTAAAACACCCCACCTGCTGTATACACAGCTGTGTTTACAGGTCTGTATAAAACTATAAGGAGGAGGGAGTCCCTCAGATAAGATTTGATTATATGACTGACGTTTGTCTATTGGGGGGCCTCAAAATCGCATGTTTGGGAGCTGCTGTTTTACAGATTCTTTTTTTTTTTTTTTTTTAAAGGTCAGTTGTTGCATCAGGTTTATCGTCAGCTTTCCACTCAGCATTCGAGGGTTTACAGAAAAGACAACAACATGCTCGAAGTGTGACATGCTTTTTAGGCACCCCTCACTGGGCCTTAAAACGCAGTTTGAACTTATGACCTTTGGTCAGCAGGAGGCCATAGTAAGCTAAAACAGGTGAAATTGTTCTTATCGTACACGACATAAGGTCATCAAATTGGGGGATGCACAAGAAGAGAGGAGCTGAGCTGTTGTAAAGGCTACTCTGGCGCGGGTTAAGCATTATATCACAATTTACGCTGTGCCAACGGTCTTTGCGCTGTTCCACGGCTTTACGCATGAACCTAGTGGGCTCTTACGCACGAGTTTTACGCATGGATATAGTGGACTTTCCTTGTTTTCTTGCGTTTTAGAGAATAACTGTACTCGTACATGGAACAAGGCATGTGCGTGCAGTGGCTGCCTTAGGTGTGTGCAATAAATCAATTAATCAATCCATTCACTTGACTATAATATGTACTTGAAAAAGCGCTTCAACAAGCATACTCCTAGAAAAGTAGAGACAATGTCTCTTTGAGTGACGGGGCCCGAGATCAACAGCAGCGTGACTCCCATCATCTAATCCACAAATTATAGCTTCATATTCAGTCGTGCAATAGTATGGTCCCAAAATAAGTGTATATTTTCTCTTGTGGAGAGGGGAGATGGCTCAGTGTCTTTCCTGTGTACTTTCGTTTGTTTCATCATGTCAGAGACAACATTTAAAGCTGAATAAGGATATCCACAATCAAAGAAAATACTTGATTTGCCCTGTTTAATCGTGTCATCCACACCGTTACATGTTACTTTCCACGCGGAATAAAATCTCCACTGTTAGATCTGTTAGCAGTGGAGCGCTGTTAAAGGACTCATGCAGTCTCATACCCTCAGTGCAAACGGGTGGGAAAAGAGACGAGCTGGCGGCTTGTTTGCACTGACAGGTAGCTGATAAGTGTTTCCTCTAACCAAATCATTTGTGAAAAGATTAAGAGGGAGGCTGTTGAACAACTTTACCCCGAGCACAAAGCGCCGGTCTAGGGCGCCCTGCTGGGCTTCACGGTGGCTGAGCAGAATTTGACTTGATTTGCGGCACACGACCTAATGAATTAATAAATAGGTTAAGCTTTACGGCTCTTGACTCCGACAATCCCACTCAGAATGTGGGAGGTTTTTAGGGGGGTTGGGGAGGGGGGGCTTTTTATTATTTTTTTTTTTATTCATCACATTCTACAAGTGTGATATCCTCATACAACACCCACTGATATTATGCTTTTATTGTTTAGTTTTTTTGTTATATGAGTTTCTGGGTCTGTGTGAACCGTCTCGCTTTAGGACACGCAGGCTGTCCATGAAGACGAGAGGGACAGTGGCTCACACACATAGACGCTTCTCTGTGCGCCCATATACCATCCCTGGATATCTCACAAGTCTGTCAGTCAGCAGCCCAAACACCCCGACTTAAGGAGGCATGTCACGTTTCTCAGACTTTGCAAGAGAGGGATAATGAAAGTTTCCCTCCGCGGTTGGGCTGAAAAGACTCTTTGTGATGTTTTATTTGACATATTGGTCGAGCGTCGAGAATAGTTGTCTTGGAGAAGGCCAAGCATCTTCATTGAGAGCGCGGAGAGGTTGGGGTGCGACGATTTATTTATAAGTCAAACTCCAGATATTTTAAGGCAGCCAGCTGCTCCTGAAGATCACCTTCGTATCATCTGCATATCAATTATTGATTTAACGAAAACAGACAAGTTGCAACCAACAAAGGACTCGCTCATTGCACGGCCTAATACGAACTCATGAATTTGTAATGCCGCATGTTGTGTCCAACTCAACACTTTTGGAAAGAAAGGGATGCTGCTCGCACCTTTCCAAGACCAAAGACCCGTGTGTGATAGGCCAGTGAAGCGAACGCGTGCCTTATCAATATTTCATCAGCAGCTTTCTTATCCGAGATGTGCCCTCTGACGCTGCTGCTCACACTGACACATGTAAGCTCAAAGATGCAGTTCAGCGCCATGCGTTTCACCTCAGCTGGGAGGAATCAGGTGTGGGCGAGGCCTCGGTGACTTTGACTTTTAATCGTTATCGCTGTGATGGACAGCAGAGATAAAACAAACGGACCAGATGTGTATTGGGGTGCGCTATTTCTAATATTTTATTTCTCTGAGGAAAAGATGATGTGAGATGCTGTTCTAGATGGGGACTTCCTCACAGTGTGCAAAGCTTGGACACAACAGGTGACTAACCGGTCAAATTTTCTCCCTCTCGCAGAGATGTAAAGACAAGTTGAACTCTCTGGCCATCTCGGTGATGAATCAGTGGCCCGGGGTGAAGCTGCGGGTCACCGAGGGATGGGACGAAGACGGACACCACTTCGAGGAGTCGCTCCACTATGAGGGCAGGGCCGTGGACATCACCACCTCGGACAGAGACAAGAGCAAGTACGGCACTCTGTCCCGGCTGGCGGTGGAAGCCGGATTCGACTGGGTCTACTATGAATCCAAAGCCCACATCCACTGCTCCGTGAAAGCAGGTAAGGCTGCACAGATGAGAGGGGAAGCCTACTCGTTGTACCAAGAGAAAAATGCTGTCATGCGCACTGCGCTGCTGGCTGTAAGGAGAAAATAACCAGATGTATCACAGGGGCACGTTTCCCGTCAGGTGCGATTGTAATCTGAAAGAGCAGGTGCAGCTCTGGGAAGCTGCAGCCATGCCTTATCTTTTAGAAAACTCCCATGCTAGATCAGAGTCCCTTCAGCTGCTTGCGAAGGAAAAGCATATTAGACGTCATGAAGGTGTCAAAAAGGAAGTTGATGCTTTTCAAGTGTCCAAAAAAAACTGATTTCAGTGACCAATCGGCTGCAACATGTACAGGTTAAAAGAAACACCACGTGAGATCAGAAACACAACACCACGTTTTTTTTTATTGCAAAACTATACATTTTACGATCATCAACAAAAAAAAACAATTCTCATTCAGTTAATGAATAATCACAAGAACGTGCACTCAATATTTGTCTCATGAGGTAATTGGAGAGCAGAGTGTAACCATTCATTTTGACTATGAAACATGTTTCTATGAATGATGTATGGGGCGTTATGAGCATTTCCCATGCAGCTTATTTCTTGATCTTACACCGCCCCACTCTGTCTCCTGGTGGGAACCACGGCCATAACCTAACACGGTTCCTCGGTGTGACCTAGAAAAGCTAATCATTTTGTTGACTTTTTCTTTTTTAACAGTGGAAGCCAAATGAAAATACTGAAAGTTGTGATGTTTTTTAGGTTATAGTTAGAATTTGATCATCTAATGACAGAACGAAAATAATTTCTGGTTTGAGGTATTTTTTTTCCGGATTTTATTCGACTCAGCTTTGAGATCCAGTATTTAGTTTAAAGACAATCTTTGTTTTAGTTCCTTTTTGGGGGGCTAAAACAACCTTACAGGCCTTTACTAAGCTACAGGACACCTATGGCGCTTAGAAACTATTTGCTTGCACTGACTGATGAACCGTGGCACCTTTTTTTTTTTTTTTTTTTTTTTTTTAGCTCAGACTTTATTGATAAATCCCTTACTTATCATTCAACACACACGTTTTGAGATCACAGTATGGGCCGGGCCGACGTGTCATTAGGGGTCATGCGACTTTACCAAAAGGATTTGGCTGAACAATGTTGAATTGGTTGGGGTAAATCTGGTTTTCAGTTGTCACCTTATTTCATGCTCGGGAATCTTAAAAGAAGATTAAAAGCCCCAACTTCAGAGCAGGAAACCCCCTTTGCTGTGTGCAGGACAGTGTGGTCCCAAGAGACTGGTATGTGAAGAGCTCCACCAAGGCCAAAATTATTGTCATCAAGCCTGACAACAAAGCAGCGAGAGGTGGTAGAAAAGAGGGCGCATTGATGTTGCACAACAGAAAGCATTTAAGAGTCCGGGCCCTCATTTAAATTCAAATCTACGACTCGAGAGGCTTGGAAAAGTGGCTCCACTGGGTAAATAGTAGTTGTGAGTCGCCTATTTGTGTGAATTGTCACATAGAGGTTTCTGCACCTGAGTAAATATGGGGACGAGTAGCTGGGAAAGGCGTAAGTGTTCTTTACCAAGAGTAGCTTGATCCACAAGCTGATTTAGAATAACAATGGCTGCTCTTTATTGGGTTTTTTAATTAAGAATAGATGAGCCAAGGCTTTCAGTTTTCTCGTCTCAGACAACGTGGGCCAAGCCAATACGCATTTGGCACGGAGGAGCAGACAGGCATCATTATGCAAAATGCATATGGCCCACCATGATGTGTGTAGGCAGGAAAAATACAAATATGAGCGAAAAAAGGGAGGCTAGTGAATGGGCTTTTGAATGGGCTTTTGAATGGCTGAAAGGCACGTGTCATTTGTTATTTTTAAGTTTTAAAAGCTTAAAATATTGCTGCTTTGGAACATCTATTGTCTTTAAAGTATTTAAACAATATTTTTTCAGTTGGCCTACAATATACTTAATAAACATTTTCTGACAGTGTAAAAAGAAGTATATTGTGTTTCAACAACACACTCTTTTATTTGAACAGAAAACTCCGTGGCAGCAAAGTCAGGCGGCTGCTTCCCGGGCTCCTCCACGGTCACGCTTCAGGATGGCACCGAGAAGGCGGTCAAACACCTCCAAACCGGCGACCGGGTCCTAGCAGCAGACGACGACGGAAAACCGATTTACACAGACTTCATCATGTTCATCGACCAAGACTCAACGACTAGGAGGCTCTTCTACGTGATCGAGACCGTCTCGGGCCAGAAAATCACCCTCACGGCGGCGCACCTCCTCTTCGTCAGCCGCAACACCACGGAGGGGGAGCGGATGTCGGCGATCTTCGCCAGCCAAGTCCGATCCGGACAAAAGGTGTTCGTGTTTGATTCCGAGCGAAGTCGACTCGAGCCCGTGACCGTAAAACGGATTTACACGCAAGAGCACGAGGGCTCCTTTGCGCCGGTGACCGTGCAGGGGACCGTCGTGGTGGACCAGGTCCTTGCGTCCTGTTACGCAGTGATCGAAGACCACGACCTGGCGCACTGGGCCCTGGCACCCGTCAGGCTCGCCCACTGGGTGTCCTCGTTGCTTTTCAGTTCCCAGCCTCGAGTCAGCGCACAGAACGACGGAGTGCACTGGTACTCCAAGATCCTTTATCAATTAGGAACATGGCTCTTGGACAGCCACTCGATCCATCCACTTGGGATGTCAGTATTCTCAAGTTGAAACCTCTACTACGGGAGCAGAATGAGACTTACATGTAGGACACACGAACTATTCAGTAGATTAAATAAAATAAAATAATAATAATAATTAAAAAAAACGAACGAACAAACAAACAAGACAAAGGCCCCAGCGGAGTTGGGATATTTATTTCAGTGACTTTTCCATGTGTCCCCTTTCAAAGAATGAATGGAGCCTTAAAAAAGTTTCTCTTTGAATAATTTATTCTCATGTGAACTCGCTGCTGTCACACAAATGGATTCTGAAACGGTGTGCGCAGCAAATTGTGCATAATCTATTTTTGTATATCTGAAATGCAAAAAAAAAAAAAAAAAAAAAAAAAAAAAAAAAAAAAAAAAAAAAAAGACAGAAAAAATGGAAAAATAAAAAATATCGCCAAGAGGAAGAAGAAGATGTAGAAAGGAGCAAACGTTGACAGGTTGTAATGTTCATATGTGCATATGTGTGCAACTGACTGTTATATTTTGGGGAGAACAAACTTCGCGGGGTTCCATAAATTATATTTTTATACACAGAATTGTAAATTAGATTTTGACAGATCGCTACCGAATCACATTTCGTTATTTGAAATAGTGTAAGATATGAGAATATATTTTAATTTAAATACAGTAGTTGGGAAAGTATTGGAAAATCTTGTACTGCTTGGTTTATTAAGAATTTTATTATTTTGGAAACTGTTCGTTTAAGTTGTCGGAGAGGGACAGATATTCTGCCTCATGTCTGCATTCTCTGCTTTTTCTTTTTTTGTCTTCTTTCTATTTTTCTGTTTTCCTCTGAGAAAAATATTAAATGCAGATTCTGACAATTCAGTAACAGTTAAAGTAGTACTGAAACAGTTTCGTTAAATAAATTAATAAGTAACTCCTGTAAATGTACTAAAATGTATTTTTCTTTTCATATTTTGTAATAGGGAAATAGTTTTATAGAAATGACCTGCGGCAGATGCAAAGTTTGGATAGTCTATATAGCCAGACCATACCAGTTAACTTTCATAACAGGGCGATGCGTCAAAAATGTCTAGAGTTTATTATTTATATGTTTATTACAAAAATGAGATAAAGAAAATCTTCAAACTTGCAGTTGTTACATGTCTTTGTCTGAGTGAACTTCACAGTAAACACAAGAGGGGAACATTTGAACATTAGGAGGCATTTTCCGGCCAAATTAAGGTCGCAAATGAGTTGTTGGAGCAGCTCATCGATAATACAAATTGTATTGCGCTTCTCACTTTGATCCAACATGTGTTTTATAACAAGGCGTTCATTCTTTGGGCGGTTATAATTAACATATAATTGTTTAACATGGTAATTGAACGAGCTTTAGCGGGAGAGCCAACACACAATCCCACCCTGTTTGCTAGCCTTTTCTTTTCTTTCTTTTTTTACAAAATGGAGAAAATATGGCGCTTTGAACTACCTTTTGCATGCTTGCGAAATGTTGAGAGCCCATGTCAAATTTAACGAGGTTTGCCCTCCGCAAATAACTCCGAACTTGCAGACAAATTAAACAGAAGTGTGTTTGTTGGCCCTAAACGCGCTTCTCGGTGTCTGCAGGCTGAGGTCAGATTGCTCCATCAGTGACTGACGGAAGAAACGCAGGCATTGTCTCAATCACAGCTTAAGTAAAAACATTTGTCAGTCTTTAACAAATCGCCATAATCCTCCAGTGTTTTCACAGGGACTTATAACGTGCATGTAGGACTTAATAGTGAGGGTTTTTAAGTCATCATTTATGTCCTCTGTTGACGTGTTCTGTGGTATTAAAAAGGATCTTTCTAACGTCGATTACAGCATCGGTTTCTCCCACTCACCGCGTTATTAAGTTGAACAAGTGCGACGCCACGCGGTGAAACACCTGTACTGCTGGGAAGCTGCTTTTATATGAAAATTGAGTCAAATCACAGGAATAAAGGAGCTGGAACTGCTACTTACTAGTTAACTAATGAATAAATGCATTTGTGTGAAGTGGCTTTCAATGATTCAGGTTTAAGGAATGAATCTTAATGAATAAATGTGTACTAAAGTGCAAATTAATTCCCAAAATATATTAGAATACAAATAAATTCTTTGATTTTTCCTATGAAAATCACAAATCCCTTCCCACCCAGACTTATCAAAGGTTAAAAAAAAGGGCCATTGAGCCGCAGTTTCTGAACACTGTAGCAACATGAGCAGGAATTCCATTTCCTTCTCCCAGGTCGCCCACATTGTGTTTGGTTGTTGATACTGTGAGGTGGAAACTTTGAGGAGGGACAAAGCAGGCCCATCTCTGCCGGAGCGGTGACCTTGGGTCCCTGACAGATACAAAAGCGTCCGTGCAGGGCAGCATTCCTCAGAGCAGGTAAACAGAGCCTCCTCTAATCCCTCTGGGGGCCCTCAGTCTGCTCGGGCTCAACAACGGCTTTCACAAATGTTGACATTTGCAAACATGAACGGTCTGGCATTCTGGAAAACACAACTGGCCGTCTCTAAGAGAGAGAGTTCTGCAAATGGCAGCGCTGCGTTTTCTTTCCAGGCAACATTCACTCTCCTCTGCGGGAGCAACCAGCAACCAGCAACCAGCAGAGCGCTCAGGAGGAAGGTGGTAAGTTTTGATGGGAAAACACATTTTTACAAGGATCTGGTCCTAAACATGGCAACACACCTTTACTGTGGCCTCCTCCCTCACTGTCAATAAACTGAACTTTTCAAGACAGACTAACTAGGCTCAGCAAATGACAGATGGATGAACAAGCGGCTAGACTACAGTAGCTGGACACATGTTTTATTTGAATCAATTAGTATTATTTCAGAGTTCTCATGACCTTTCCTGTTGGTGCCATCTATTAAGACTTTTTGGGTGCTGCAGTTTTTTCACTTGCATTTAAACATCACAATCAAAACGTAACAAAGTAATAACAGTCAACATAAGAGGTCTAATCGCTCTTTGGCGAAGGATCTGCTTGCATTTAAAGGGATCACCGGCTTGAAGATAAAAATTGAGAACCACTGCTTCAGATGACACCCGGTCCAGTCTAGTCCAGTCCTCTGACTAAAGGACCGCGGTGGGTTTGATCTGAAAGTAGTTTTTTCAAACACTCACAATTCTCACAATAAAGACAAACTCAATGCCATTGCTGTGTTTATCAAAACATTTATTGTTCTTCAGTTTCTAGTATCAAATATAACACATTCCATCTCTTAAGGAATTATTCACTTTCTTTGAAAAAACATTCAACTTTTCTTTTAGAAAAGTCACATCAGAGCGTGACTGAGACGACTCAGAAATTTTCCAACACAAAACATTTCTTCATGTTTTACAGCAAATTATGTGAACATACACGACAGGATGGATTGTCAACAAATTTTTGGTAGAAAGCTCGAAGGCGTGATTGTCGGTCAGTGTTTTGGTGCGGCGCACTGTTCCAGATGAGGAAACCACTGGAGTGTCTTTTTTTTTTCTTTTTTCTCAAAAATCCAACCAAACAATGCAAGTGAAGGAGCTGGGACGAGCTTTGGTGCAGTGAGAGCCATAAAGCGGCTTCAGAGCTACGCGTCTGCTCTGTGAACCCGGCTGTTGTCACAGAGATGGAAACCTCCATCCACTGGGCTAACAAACAGTCCAGGTAGGCCACCCTGCTCGGTACAGAAGTCTTAAGTTCATTCAACAACGGCTGCATCGAGGAAAAGATGAGCGACTGTCAAATATATATGCAGGTGGAGAGAAGAGCGATGGCGGGAGGGGGGGGGAGCGGGAATGGAAGGAAATGTGGCGAGCCAAAGGGCCAACATCTATTCAGTGAGAGGGGAAGTAAGCTCGGGTAAGATCTTCAGTCCACAGCCTGAACGCGCCACGGCTGTGAAGGAACCTGAAGTGTTAAGTGAGTGAGTTTAAGGCAGGAAAAGTGACATTAGCGGTATCGTGGCTGGAGCTGATCAATGGCTCCTCTCACCACAGTGCTGTTGGAAAAAATGAACGAGTTAACACGATTAACATGTGAGACCATGCCAACGGCTTTGAATGCTTTCGCTCAACCCGTTTGCACCTCTCATGTAATCGATACTTCTACTGTCACACTTCTGCATTATTGGTTTCATTTGTATCACAAATTAAAGCAACGGATTTAATACGTTTAAATTGAAAGCTGATTTCTGCTGGTACAAACAACGTATCCATCTGGCAGATTGTAAACTAAATAAACACGGTTTGACTAATACATGAACCAAACAAAGACAAACACTGAAGATGTACTGGATTAGATATGAGTTATATACAACATGCAGCAAACGAATCATTCTTTGTACCAGCAGGACAGAGACGCCTTCGAGAAGAAATCACTCTTCAAAACAGAAGCCAGAGGTTTCAAATGACCTGCTGGGTTTATAAAAGTTAACCTAGAATTATACATCAGAGGGACAAACTAGAAACCACCCAATTCATGTTACAGATGTTGGAGCTTTGCAATAGCAGCTAAACGCATCAACAAGCAAAAATAACACAACTTTGAGAAAAAAGTCAATAGTTGAATGTGATGGATTGCCAATTTCATTTTCATACCAACAGCTGCCTTTAAGTTGGGAGAAGCTGTAGTTATAATTGGTTTAATCATAACCCAATCTGTTGAATTGCTAAAGCATGCTAAACCGTTGGTATGGTCCTTTAACTTTGCAACAGCACCGATGACAGCGTGTGACACTCTGCTTTGTAGAAGTGGATGTGATCTGAGGGAAGAGAAAAGAACGGCGTTATTTATTTCTGCCGACTCTCAGCACCCTGGATCCCCAAAATGGACCTTTTGGAAAAAGTGTTGAGTTAGCGTTACGTAAAAAACCCAACCAGGCTAGTGTTGCACGTTTGAAACAAAGCTCAACACTAGCAGCCATAATTAAGGCTTATGCAAGCACAAGAAAGACCCATAGATATGTCAAGGATGAGTCTTTCTTAATCAAATGTTAAATACTCTACTGCAACCACATGAGGGGATGTGATTGGAAAAACATTCATGTACGAAATTCTTAAAATTAAGGTACAAAAGATTCAATATGAATCTGCTCTGTGATTACACGACCAGATGTCTTGTAGCGAGATAACTAACACCGGCACGGCCGGTACTTTTTCAAATCCACAGGATTTACTACAAACACTGAAATCAAGTGACCCACAACACGAAAGACATGAAGTACACATTGTTAGGGAACAAAAACCACTACATCATTTACACTCAAAACAAAAAGGAATAAAACATAAAGAAGACAGTTTAGAACATACAAAAAAAGAAAACCACGGAACCTCGTGTTTTACATGAAGAAAGGAGGAATTTTTAGGAGTTTAGAGACTTTTAAAGGCGGCCAGACTGTCCCAACACTTCAAGCGTGTTGAGCGTCTAGAGACCTTTACTGGCAAGAATTACCAATGTGCATTTTAAAACTTTAAAAAAAAGGATCGTCACTCCTTTCAATCAACCGCTACTTTGAGGGAAATACCACTAAATTTCTGAATTAGATTCACACATGCAGTCAGGATTAGTGGCCACTCGGCACTTGTGAACAAACTTTTTCTGAAGACTTAAAACCAGAGAACCAAGAACTTCATCTGTGATGTCATCCAGATGCACAGCCAGGAGTTTATGTACTAACAGAGAATGTATGAACGTCTTCATGTTACAATTTGATCTTTGCATAAATCAAATCCAGTGAAATAGTTTAAATATTTACTCAGCCTATTGCTTTACCTCTAGCATGTCAGGGCTGTAGGCAGCCGAACATTCGTATGACATCACAGTCAAATGGGCGGGACAAACATTCTTGCGTTTCTGGAGATGAAGGAAATAATTTCAATGGCAAAATTCAGTGGCATCACCCTAAATCTATATAAAAGGTAGTATGTCTTGCCATACAAGGTGTTTAAGAGGTTTTTTGAAGTGTGTGTGATATGTTACCCCGGACCTTACAGAATACCTCAAATGAATAAAAACGCAGGACAAATAAGAAGGATTATTCATCGTAAAGGCAACAGAAAGATGGACATCACACACAACCACACATCTTTGGGCTAAAGTTCAACCGGCTTCACATACCCGCATGTTCACGGTATATTGGCCATGTTTTTATTTTCCCTTACACTTTTTGTCAAGTATCTTATAAACAGAAATGTGGTCCAGTCATCCTTCATTTTGAATCCAAATCAGAAACAAAACTCGAGTAAAATGATTTATGTCTGGACACATCAGTATATCCTTACATGTAAAAATGTTTAAACGTGATACAAACGCAAGTAAAGAGTATCTTTTAAAAGAAACAAAAATCAACAGGATGAATACTGGGAGAAAGTTGTGGTCTACTTATGTACACGATCACTACGTAGATAATGGTTGCCCCCTCGGCTTCCTGCGAGCGACGTACGCGACGTTCACCTCTGATCTTAAATGATCAGTAAACACGGGTAACTAATGTCTTAAAAAGTTTTTGTTTAACAAACTTTACACCCGGAATAGACAAAGAAATTGTGCGATGAAGAAAAAATTGATGGAATAAGTAAGTGAGCCTTAGTCGCTATATATCTAGTCTAATAATGATGTCATGAGAGCCAGACCAGGAAGTTATTTAGAAAATTCAAGGATTTCAGTGAAGTTCAGAGAAAAGGCGAATGCGTTAGCGATTGTACGACTGTTACTTAAAATGTGTCGTGAAGAAATGCTTCTTTAGGTCGGGTGATAAAGGATGGCTTTGTTAAAATGAGGGAGATTACATTTCCGGGCAGAAGTAATCTGGTGAGTTACTGTTCTGCTCCACTGACGGACATCTCTGTCATCAGCTCAAACCGTTCCCCCCACACACACACACACACACACACACACACACACACACACACACACACAGCCATGCAGCTCAGTGATTGGGCACCGATCATCAACAGACAGTCACGCAGATCTGGATCAATTATAACGGAACGGAGGAAACGGCTACAGAAACGGATCCTTCGGGGAATCGTCAGCAGTTCTCTCCGACGTACCGAATATATGCCGAGTAACTGACAATTCTAAAAAAAAATCTCAAATAAATCTTACATACACATTCCCTCAAAAGCACAATAAACACGAATTACAATCCTAAATCTAACTAATCCATAATCAATCAATACAACTAAAATATACATCCAAAATGCGTGAAACGTTTTTTTCCCAAATTGGACTCCAGGCAACAGTTAAAAGATGGAAGCTTTTAGAACAAGGAGCGACGCCACAATGACCAAACTGACCTGAACTAGAGATGAACACTATGTCCCAGAAGCTGAAAAGCACCACAAAATATACAAAGAGTCTCAACATCTACAACTTGTAAAAGCGCTGGTAATTTAGAAAAAAAAACGTATTTATGTAACATCCAACGCCGATTTGATCTCGGTCACTACTCTGTGATAAATACTCAACTGTCCACCTCTGTGCCTGTATGCAAGGTCTCCACTAGATGGTGCCATTCACCCAAAAACTGCATGGAGACGTCTCTACCTGAAAGCGGGATTGAGATGGAAAGAAATGAATTAGTGATGAAACACTGCCACCTACAGCAGGGGAGAAACACTGCGATGGGAAGAAGCTGGCCACAGTCTGCCACGACCATCGCCTGCACCCAACCAAACAGCAAGCGGCAAATAATAATAAAAAAAAAAGACTATGAAGTGGTTATATAAGAATTACAATGTTTAAGTGTTTTAATGACTAACTGAGGAGGGGAGCAACCATTATCCCGTGATGAGTTCTACTGAGTGTCCGTGGAAGATGCTCAAAGCATTCTTCACTAGCTTCCTTAAAGTAGGATTAACTGTCCAGTGTCTCTCCGGTGCCATTTTCACAACAATGGACAATCGGTACACAAAGTCAAAAACAAAGGCATGCTCGCAGCTAAAGTCTTTATGTTCACTGTTCCAAGTTGATAGGAGATGAATGACGCTTCCGTTCAGAGATGGCGACTGTGTGCGTGACCCCCCCCACAAAGGGCTGAAGAAGTATTCCTATGCCGAGTCGGAGCAGTGCAGGAGAGAGGCTCCCACGTTGGGAGGAAGAGGACTCCTTGTGACGGGACTCCTCATCAGTCAATCAGCGACACATCAATGTGGGACAAATCAATCATGTGCCTGCGTAGTAAGTGTGATAACAATGTTTGAGCCGTTGTCTCAGGGGGCACAGGTACTAATGAACACTTATGTCGTACAATCTGTACAGTAGCTAAATGACCACCGCAAGGTTAACAACAACAGTAGGTAATCATGTAATTGTTGCTTCTATATAGATGATAAATAAAAAGAGTATTTTGATTACCTATGGAAGCTCATTTGAAAACTTTCTGCATGCTGGGGACTGGAAAATGTGGCGACTGCTTTCCTCTGCTGGTGCATCATTTTGAACATCTGCAATAAACAGAAATAGTCAAATGCAAATGTGCCGACATCACAACGTTTTGACTTGTCAGAGTAGGAAAGGCACAGGTGTTACTAGCATCACTGATGACGGAGAACAAACATGCACGATACCAGGACGCTGAAAATCAAAGCAGCTAAATGGGATTCAGCCATCGTTAATTCATTTCACTATTTACACGAGCTTTTGCTGTGGTGACAAGTCAAAACGTCTCCTGTGAAAACGGTCTATCGAGTACAACGAGATGCTCCCTTTATCCACAAGGGGGAGTGGGGGTGGTGTAGGGAAGTGTTCTCTACCTACTCGATCACTACGACAGAGGGCGCTATGGGATCACACTATGGACAGCTCATTACTGCCCCTCTGGAGGGTGCAAGAGCTAGGTTTCATCACGAGCTACGAGCTAATTTTGCTACTCTTCATACAAACTAGATGCTTTGCGAGCAGACGTAAGAAAACATTAAAAGTGCACACGCAAGTATCAAGCTGCTGTGCCTACCTCTATGGGGCCAATGGACCGGAGAAGATTCTGCAGTTGAATGTCAGTGGTGGATGAAGAGAGGCCCTCTATGGACACAGTGCAGCGTTCGTTCTCCGTTCCTCTTTGGCTCTGTCTGGTGGCCATTGGACGACCCCGACCCGCCGGACCAGCCCCTCTACCTCGACCTGACACGACGACCTACACCACCGACGCCAGGTGTGAGAGAAATTACCCACATGTAGTAAAAGAAACCGGGTGAGGGTTTAGAGAAAGACGGCGGGCGAAAACACAGACTGAACCTCTCACAGCTTTCACAGGCATGTTGATGTTTTAATCTCGCATCCAACGATGTGAAGAGGAGATATATTTCTCAGTACACAAAGGCGCATTTAAAAAACTGAGTTTTCCTCTCGTGCCTCTCAGACACGCCGAGCTTTCACAGGATTGACTTATCATATTTCTACATAGAACATCAACGTCAGAACATGATGCATGTGGCATGGCATATCTTCATTTGAGCTCGAAAGTGAGAGGTATGTTTCTTCAGCTGCAGAGGAAGGAGGAGGAGGAGGAGGGAGAGGCTTCGAAAAGAGATAAGAGGAGGTAGAGGGAATATGTGTGTGTGTGTGTGTGTGTGTGTTGGGGGTGGGGGAGCCAAAAGGAGAGGAGCCATGCGAGCGTTATGGTGACTGCCTTACCCTGTCAGCGTCAGTGTGTATGGTAACTGTGACAGCAGCCTGGTGGTGACAGGCGTGCAGAGAGGCCAGGGGACCCGGTGTAGCCCTCTGTGTTACACTGCTCTCAGCTTGTCAATACTCCTGCACCTGGCACACTGTCCTGTCTTATTACCACTGGTGCTCGATTGGTATGTCTACTGAATGCCAGGGTAGCTAGCACCAGCGGCACGAGACAACTTTACAGGAGACATTGCAGCTTCTTTTATTTCAGAACTGCCATTATCCAACAGTCTGCTCTATTAATATACTATGTGTGTGTGAGTGTATATATACGCTTGCTGGTGTCCAAAGCACAGAAGGCGGCGTGTGACCATTTGTGACATACCCTGTTTTGCTGTGGGTTGCCCGTGACCCCTCGGCCTGCCTGTGGTGTCCCGCTTGGTGCCTGTTGTTGCTGCTGCTGCTGCCCCGACATTGTAACCTTCCGCTGCCCGGCCGGGTTGAGCGGGGTGGCCGCCCAGGTGCCTTGTTGCTGCACCGGGTCTCCGGCTGCCACTGGGCCGTTCCCACTCTGAATGGGGATGACGGAAAACACCAATTAGCAGCTCACACAAAATTCCAGCCACATCTCAATCACAATCCTATTCACATTAAGGAGCAATTGATAGGTTTTTAGTCAGGGCCGATACAGGTTATTGGTAATCCAGGAGGTCGATAACTTGCAACCAATATACATTTGCAGGATTGTGATGTTTACTGTAACCTCAGCGATATCTGCTGCTGTACGTTGGAAACACAGCTTTGAATGTCAGAGCCACAGTATCCTTAAGTGGTGTTGATAGGCACAAATACTTGTGTAATATTTATCAATTTCCTGCATTTTACTACTGTATTTTATTTCTTACACTGTTTTTATTGTTTCAATGAATGTTCTTAATTGTTTTTAAATCTCCTTTTCTTTTGCCTTATGTTTTGATGCTTTTAATGGTTTTATGTGAAGCACTTTGAATTACCTTGTTGTTGAAATGTGCTATACAAATAAACTTGCCTTGCCTTGTAATCAATCAGATATGTGCTGTGGGCCGGACATTGAGTGCAACTACAGACAGAGAGAGCATCTGAGCCAAAGTAGCTTATTTCTAATTTATCTATATTATCTGCAATCGGATAAAAGCAGAAGTATTCTTATAATCGTATAAACACTGTATATCTGTATATTCAGCATTTAGGCAAAGTGTTTGTGGACAACAGGGAGAAATGCAAGGACATACGCGGAGGTAAAAAAGTGCCAGTGTTGGCGCTGGATCCCTATCACACACGCTGTGGGGAATAAAGATCAACCCAACAAGGTGATGGTCTCATTATCAAATAAAGTCACAGCTCAACTCTGTTGACATGCGAGGGGAAGAATTGAAGGTCGTCTCTTCCCCGACTCTGCGGAGAGATGTGACAGATCAATACAGGGGAAGAAAAGAGGCGATATCTCTGACCTGTCCCCGGTTGAGAGTAAATGGATTAATCCCTCCTATAGAAATCACAGCTCCTGATTGCACCCATCAAATGCTAAGCTGCATTACACTGGAACGACAGCGGCTCGATGTGTACCCCATCCCCCTTACACCCCTCTCCTCCCCAGCTTTTGTGTATTGCGCTGCTTTGTATTATCCCTGATGAAAATATAATTTGCCTCTTATCTGTGTGCCTAAGCCATACAAATCCAAATCCTCAAAAGTGGCAACTTTCTTACACAGGTATTATGTTGCCTCTCCGTTCAGCCAAAAAAGATTAATTACAAGGGTCTTGGATTGGCATTCTTTTGTTGCCTTGCACCTGAGAGATGGGTTGATGGTAAAAAAAAAAAAAAAGCAACCGAGGGATGACAGAGGGGAAGAGAGAGAGCAAGAAAAAAAAAAAAAGAGAAGGGAGGAGATAACATTGTCAAGCGCCCGTTGACGACAGCAGAACAATGTGGAAGAGGAAGCATCAAGACAATCTTCTTTTCACTACGGCTACAGGCCTTAGCTGTTTCCGTCTCTCTCTCTCTCTCCCCACCACACATCCCACTCTCCCCTTTTTCTCCAAGATGCGGTGCATCAGATAGCTCTGCGCAGGTTTCCATTAACGCACTGACACCCAGTTATCTTCATCTGCAGCACAGCCTGCGATTTGGGCTCTGCGGCTTGATCCTCCGGGATGGAGTCGGAAAGCGGCTTATTTCAAACACTATCGCATCACACCAACGTGTCTCACCAGCGACAAGTACGAGTGTTTAACATGCATGTCTTTGTGGTTTTTCAATAAAGATTAATGTGTAATTAAGGCCACCGCAGTAACTTATCAACCGGGTATAAAATAGCCGGCAGTCGTAATTCTGGACTTGTTGGTGTTACTGTCATTCTTGTTTTACCATCTCCAAGGCCTCTATCTTTAAAATAATACTCTTCTGCCCTTAAAAGAGGATATCAACCTTTAAGAGCAGTGATGAGGTGTCCCCAACTCTTCAGATAAATGTCATACTTCTCCCTTTAATGCCTTCAGCCTGTGTCCTAAAGGTAAAATGTGCGTAAAAGGCGTTGTGTCTTAAATACCAGTTCCCAAAGCTTAAGAGGAAACTCTTAACAGATCAATTTTTACTAAAATGACACAGACATCACCTTGTCAAACCCATAGGTTAGATATCTTTTGGATTACAAAATAGACAGTGTGAGGGCAATCAGTGGCATTTCATTTCAAAACTGTCGTTTCCCCCTGTGGGTAAAATCTGCTGAAGTGGATCAAATAAATGTCGGACCAAAACACAAAAGAAGGCGTTGGATAAAATTGAAATGGGCATGCTCACCGCTCCTGAAAGTTTGACGACTCTGACTTTTTGTGGCACCTGCTGGCCTTCGAAACTAGAATTCTTGGCCCGCTGCATCACAGTTCTTTTAGCCCCAGGTTTGGGTCCTTGAGTTAGAGCCTGAGCCTGGCCAGGTCCCACAGAGGGAGTTACAGGTATGTTCTGTTGGGGGCCCTGAATGGACTGGATCTGAGCAGCAGGCCTGTTTACGTTCAGCACAGCACTGTTCCTTCGCTGCTGTTGTTGTTGTTGCAGCTGCTGCTGAATTTGTGGAGGCAGCTTCCATTGCTGGTCTGGAACTGGCCCGGGGGACTGTTGCTGCTGGGCGCCACCTTTTACCATCTGCAGGCGTGTCTTGACATTGGGACGTGGTGTAGGGATCTGAGGACTGCCGTTGGGAGGGATGGGGGTGCCTTGATTGGGATTCTTTAATGATTGATTCAATGATTGTTGTGTCCTCAGAGGAAGCTGTCTCTGCTGTTGCGGCTGTAGTTGTTGCCGTAGTTGTTGCTGCTGTAGTGGCTGTAGTTGTTGCTGCTGCTGTAGTTGTTGCTGTGGTGGTTGTGGTTGTTGCATAAGGTGTGGCGTGAGCTGATTCTGTTGTGAGGGTTGAATATGTGAAGGAGACTGGCCCTGGCTCTGAGTCTGAGCATTGAGCCTGTCCAGCAGCTCCTTCTTTCTGACGCCAGCCTGCATCTGCCGTCGCATCTCCTTTCTCTTCAGGATCTCTTCTCTCAGACGCTTCTGCTCCTCAATCTTCAGACGGTACTGCCGTGTCTCCTCATCCTCATCAGGGTCCTGTGGCACAAAGAAAGCACAAACTGACAATATGACCACCTGTCTCCACTTACTTGAAGGCGAGGCGTGAGCCACTCCGTCTAATTTGAACCATATTACTTGGGCTGACACTCAGATGTAATCAAAGGCAAAACCCAAGAGAGAAACGCAATAGTATTGATCTGGTCTTTCCAATGGAATGAGACTGCTGTCATTAACAACATGATTGGGCTTATAATTAATGGGGGTCCTTCTCAGCACACGAGTATGATTTCTGGGACACTGGGAATTTAGCAGGAAACAAATTCTCACAGTTATGGAACCATTTCAGAAGGACATTAATAAAGAACTTGTTAAGAAGCTGACCTGTGGTGCCGGGCTGGACAGTGTGCTTGGGATCTCCTTGCGAACCACCGTCCTGCCCGCTCCTCCGAGCTGCGGTTCGATCTTGGCAGCAGCTTGGCCTCTTCCTCGGCCACCGTCGGGCACCAGCTGAGTGTGCTGCCCCGGACGCATCCCCTGTGTTGCCTTGGCAACAGGCCTAATGTTGGCGGCGGGGCGGGCACTGTTCGCGTTGCCAGGTGCTACAGGGAGCTCCCGGAGGTTGCTGTTGCGCTGCTGCATTTGCTTGGAGAGAGGCACGTTCTAAAGAAAGTGCAAAATATTAAATATTTCATGTTTGTACAATCAATCTGATCTAAAAAAAATATATATATGCATTTACAGACAGTATACAGTTATTAAAATGACCCCATTTCACTGCCTTTCATCAGTTTGAGCTGATATGTTAATCTCTCACCATCCGCTGCCGGTTGGCCATGTTGCGCTGTTGGGGGTTCTGAGGGCGGGGAGTCATCTGCCTCGGGCTACCGTGTGCCTGCTGTTGATGGAAAAGATTCTGGCCGTGGTGCATCATGTGGCGAGGCTCGTTGACATTTAGATGTTGCTGCTGATGATGGGGCAACTCCTGCCTATTATGGTGCTGCTGCTGCTGCTGCTGCTGCTGCTGGTGCATGGACTGATGGGACGGCAAGGAGTCGTGATGCGAAAGCTGGGAGACAGGAGGGCCGTGCATTAAGCCCTGAAATATCAGAGAGAGAAGACAAACATGAGTAAACCAGCTGAATCAGAACTTGTTTTTTTATATTTTACAATAGTATTACTTCTTATGAACGCTAATCTATAACATTAAATCAGGCAATTCCTGCATATACAGTAATTAACCTCCAACTGGTATCCTCAAGTATCTACCAAGTACAACAATAGTGATTCAATCACTAGAGGGAGCTCTTGTCTGTGTCTCTTGACAAAGAGCCGAGGTGCCAAACATACACAAGTCTTTTTTCCTTAACGCTTCAGTAGCAGTGAATATGATAACTAGTCGAGTTTATTCATGTGTACAGTACTCTTGTCTAGTCATTGCTCTTGCCACATCAATTTTAATAATCTAGACAAAAATTCATACATTCATGGCAGACAAAGCATGTGAATTGTTTGCCAGGCTACAAGAATTTTCACAGGTAAGAGAGGATGCTACAAAAAACATTATGATACGCAGATAAAATGTACATATTAAGCAAGCACAAAATTGTTGTACAACAAACAGACACAACCAGACAGACAGCTATTGGCTTAAAAATCACTTACTCTTTGTCGTACCTGCATCCCAAACTGGATTTGTGGAGGGAGGAAAAGGTTCCCCTGCTGGCCAAACGGCTGACGAGGGCCCATGAAGGGTCTGGGCTGGTTGGGGGGGCCACCTTGTTGATTCAACCCGACCATCCCCTGATGACCTTGGTGGGGAGGGAGGTTTGTTCTTGGGGGTTCTCTCGGAAAAATCCCCAGCGAACCCTGGCCCGGCTGGTTGAAGGCTGGTCCTGGTGGGCCGAAGCCCATGTGGCCCTGGCCAGGCAGCTGCTGCTGCTGCTGCTGCTGCTGCTGGTGCTGCTGGTGATGGAGGTTGTGGCTGCTGTTCATCAGAGGGCTGGGGCCCTGGTGATCAAACATGTGCTGTCCTGGAAACCGTGTTGACTCTGTGCGCTCTGTGCCCCGCAGAAGGAAGACCGAGCAACAACACAACAGAGACGTCAGGCTATTTTTTGCATTGTGAGCCAATTTCAATACATCAGTAATACTCCCCTCTCCAGATGTATAGTCTCATGGCAAGGGAAATGAAAACAGACAACTCTATAAATCTGAAATATAGGTGTTTAATGCAGCTTCCAGGGCTCATTCAGATGTATATATACACATGCATTTAACATGAGTGCTGCTGATAGGGAAGCACCAAAAGGCAAGCAGCATACCCTGTAGGTATACCGCCAGAGGTGATGTCGAATAGGATTAAATATGCCAAGAGAGCTTTGCAGCCCTCGTCCAAGGTGGGTGTGAGACTCACCTCCCATAAAGAGCGGCTCTCTGTCTTGGGGTCCTTGAGGTGGCTGGTTCCTAAAGGGCTCCATGTGATGAGGGGGCCGCTGGGGCTGAACAAAATTACCAGTCATGTGCTGCTGGAAGTCTCCCGGTCCCTGGGAAAACACAAAACTCATGAATTATACTGGGAACTCAATAATCACAAACAAATTAAACTAATGAAAAATGGGAATTTGGTGTAGAGTATTGCAATCGAACAGGGAGTGCTTGTAATTGAAAGGCGAGGGTCATTAAAAAGATGCAGAATCTTGAGTTGTGAACATCAATATGCATGGCAATATTGAAGAAACCCTTCAGCTGGAATTTGAGAGCAAACCCACATTAAAGCTACTTGGGGCTTTGTTCCTTTAAACCTTTAAAAGCCCATCTGTAACAAGGAACGGGCATTTTCAGGAAGGGATAAGTGCCCTCACCTTTGTCTCAACCACTTCGTATGTTCGACAGCTTTCCACTCATTGCATGCACATTACTCCCCATCTATCTCCCAAGGAAAACTAGATAACAACCCTTTAATCCCTCCTTGGAATTCGAATCCCCTCATAACTGTCTCCTTTATTCTTTTAAACATCCATCTCTGTTGAAAATTTAACCTGCTATTCAACACGTGGCACTTCCACAAATGGGCTGCCTGCCTCCTCCAAGCGTATTGTAAATTACTTAAGATGCTATCAAGGCTTAATCCATCTTTATTCCACTGCTGCGTGGCGGTATTTAGAGGAGAGAGGTGTTAGAAAGCTAGAAGGCCAGAGTTCCACAAACTTGCTTAACAGAAAGTTAATCATAGGGGCTTTACAAAGACAGGGGATCACAATGAGGGGGCAATCATACTGTTCTGAAAGGTCAGGCAGGCAGGTTTGCACAATGAGGACTCCGGTGTCCATATAATACCTCTCAAATAACACTGCTCATCCTCTCGCTTTTAATCCGTGATAAACAGGCTGCTGGCCGCTCAATATGCAACTGGCGCGAGATTAACAAGGACACGTATAATGGAGAGGGGTCAAACGTCTAAGTATTTAATAAAGAATGGACATTTGAGTTAAAGGGGATGTTTTGTTTCTAGTGTTCATGCATTGAAGCAGATTCTTTGTTTTGAGGATATGGTCCTGAGAGAGTTACGGAGCTGTGACTGCCAACACTTACCATCAAGGAAGAATTTAATTATCAACACGCGCAAAAAGAAAGGACCTCAATATGTATATATCAATACGTTATAACTACTAGAAATTAGGCTGGTGGTGTCTTCATTTTGTGGTTAAGATGAATGTCATTATCTAAACAGATTAATTATTCAAATACCTTTAATTGGCGCAGAGATTAATATTTCAAAACCGGTCTCCACCCGCAAAAATGTAATGCCGTAATACTAGAGGCTATGACCCCCCCCCCCCCCACCCGTTCGCCCTGTCTTTTAACAATTAAATTTGATGGGATGATAATGTATGATAATCATGAGTAATCAGGTGCCCAGTGGTAAATGGAATGTTGCCGGCTGGTATGTCACCTGCATTTCAAATTGTGTCCTTGGCAGCAGCAGCCTGAACGCGATTGACAGCTGGGGAATCCAACACTATGCTGTTCATCGGTCTATCCAACCTCACCTTCTACCGTTTGATCAGAGGCTAAACAGCTCGCTGCTCCTGTGCTATCAATATCTAGGACGATCACAGACCGCAGGGAACAGAAATGGCAAGATACTGACATTGAAGGTTGGGGAAAGAGGTAAATAAAAACAGTTTTTGTAAAAGCCTGGCTTATTTGGCAACAAGGTTGTAAATCCAAATGAATGCAATTGGATGCAGCTATTTTCCAATGACTAATTTGCATAAATCCATATAAAATGCAATTTCCAAGAAGATGTCAGTCGGCAGCAGCGCCACCTGATGCCTTGGCATCATTAACCAGAAGGACGGAGTAACTTAGGGCACTTTGGCTGACTTGCTATCGAGCCACTTCCCTCAATACAATAATTACTTGTAAGGCATTTCCGTCATCCCTTGGATGGGTTCTTTGTGGGTGAAATAAAAGGACCTTTTCTTACAGGAAATCACTGACTTAAGATCCCTTTTCTCTGACGTGAAATTCAGCCTTCGGAATATATGTTGCAAAAAAGGCAAGAGGCTCACCCCGGCCCCATCAAACCACCAACCAGGATGTTTCATTAATTCAAATACCGTTCAAAAAAGGTCTCCGTGCCTTTGGGACACAAACTTATGGAAAGTGAATTTTAACTGGCGGTACATCCCGGTTTCACAATTCCATTATGTGCCAAGCTTGCTCGTCTGAGCCCCAGCACATCCATGAAGAGTAGCTAACTTAAGTCCCGCCACTGCAGCCTCGACCTCCAAAAGTCCACCGCCTAAAGCCCCTATCACGCATTTCCAGTTGTGCAGTCGGACTCGTATCTGTGTTTACAGATTCGCTGTAACAGTATTTGGCCAGGGCAGGGCGGTCTAATTGCCGTAATGATATTGCCCTCACAAAAATAAAAAGGGACGCTAGCCGTGTGTAGAGGTAGAGAAAAGTGAGGCGAACGGGAGGGAGAGGAGCAGCTGCTACTCACAGGGAACCTCTGAGGACCCACAGCAGGTCTGGGCTGGCTCTGAGCAGGAGGCATCAAGGGCACTGCAATGAGAGAGAAAGGGAGCAAGAGAAAGGGGGTGGATGGAGGAGGGGGAGAAAAAAGGAAAATGAAGGGCAGTAGGCAAAGAGAGGGTGGTGGGGATAGTAGAAAGGGAGGAGCCCATTAGACATCTCCATGCTTAAGGCTGTTACACTGACATACATGTTAAAATGTCTATCAAGACGTGCTCTTCACATCTTTACACAGCTAAGCACAGACCAGGGAGCTCAAGGAAATATCAAATACACGAGGATAATTTGCCCCAAAAAAATTTAAGTGGGGAAGACATTTGCCATTTGACAAAATTTGGCAAATTATGATTCAATAATCGACAGATTAATCGATAATGAAAATAATTGTTAGTTGAACTGGATTTTCATATTGCTGATGTACTGCTTAAAAATAAGGGTTAATGTAATTCTATGTCAACATCTACCCCCGGAAAACATTCAATATGAAGCCATCACTTAAACGAATATATAAATAAATAAAGATACACAGACGTATATACAAACACATACACACACACACTGGATCATAACCACAGGCAATCCCTGATTTTCCAGAACACGTCTTTCCTCTCAGGAGCAGGAGCAAAACCAACCCCCCACCCACCCACCCCCACCCACACACCCACGTACGTGCTTTACTAACAAAATTTCAATCTTGGCCTGGACAGACAGGCCAGATAAACCCATCTCAGGGAATGAAATGGTGATGCCGCCAGAAGAGAAATGGAGGATAAACCCATTACTGGCTGAGAGAGCTATTCACTTGTCATTCAACCAAACAACTAAATGACATTCTAATCCAGACACCTTTCAGGACAGTGTACGGATGACTGCCAGCCATAGCATGCACCTCAGCTGAGCACCATGCAGATGAACCAGGGCTGCCAAAGTTTGGATGAAATGGAAATTAGATGATGAATCTACATTAAATATAAATGATAAAAAAAAATCTCCTGTGATGAGGGAAAGTGAAACAAAAACAGTCTCATGAAAAGCACTTGGGTTCGAGTGGATTAGCCTACCTTGTACAGAGGATGACGTGGGCCCTCTGAAATGGGGGTTGATGTGGATGTTTTTGGACTGCGGAGGCTGCTGCTGGTGATGCTGGGGGAAGTTGGGCGGCGGGGAGCTCATCATTCGTGGTGGCGGTTCCATCTGGGGCCGTAACGGAGGGGAGCGGTGCGCCATGTGCGGGGGGATGAGGGGCTGAAGGGGCTGCTGGGCCAGCGGGCGCCCGTGGTCTTGGAACGGAGGAGGTCCTCTTGGACGTGAAGGGTGGTGCTGCTGCTGGGAGTGCAGTTGCTGCTGATGAGGAAGAGGCATTCGGGAGGATGGCTGCTAATTGGAAAGAGATGGGGAAACGAAGAGGAGGGAAAACCAAAACAACCTGTCAAAACACATCTATTTCTGGGGAGACTCCGACATCACTGCTTGCAGCCATGTGATGACACACCAACAAGTCAATTCACAAGCAACATTGAAGATGGTATCCTAAAAGAAATTAATGCTGGGCCCCTCTGAAAATTGAAAAGCACGTGTTCTTATGGTGGGATCACTATATATATATATATATATATATATATATATATATATATATTAACGCTACAGCCATTAAGAAGTAAAAATCACCCGTCTGCTCGCACCAAAGTATATCAACCAGGGATTCACCAACTGATTAATGAGCAATAACTACATCGTAAAGTTTCAAAAGGGTGCTTGATAATTAGCCATTGTCGATCCATTTAAGCTACCAAACAAACACAATAAAACATGCCAGTGACCAAATTAGTCAAGTGGCTAAACACACAGTATGTTGTAAAAAGTAGGACCTCATTAACAGCAGTCAGCAGCATGTTTGTGGTGTTGGCATGTTGTCCGTCCATCATTAAATATTCATTTCCAGTGTTTTGTTTGTAATTTTACAACCTATTGTCATTGAATAATAAATAAATAAATAATGGAGAGCTGGAGTGAAACATCACGCAGCCTTGAGAACAAACCCGTTATCACAATGGTATATTGCTAATTTATCATTTATGAACACTAGTTATATTTTTGTGCACTTTTGTAAAATATAGCCTTGGTAAAATGCATAAATTCACTCAGTGATCAACGAAAAAACTACATTAAAAAATGGAAATGTGGTATCTTAAACATCACGATAACCTTCAGCACAGTTAATGTTCGTTTCAGGACTTTTTCTCTCGACTTTCAGAAGGTCTCGTATGAACTGATGAGCCGTGTAAATCACAGGATTAAATGCTTCGAGTGACATCTAATAATAAAACCCCACAAGAAACTAAATCCTGGGCAAGAACAAATTTAATTTTGTATAATACTGTCTAAATGGACTACTGCCAAATGATTTGCTGTAATCCATATATCAACATAGATACGGGGGGGGAGCAGAGCAGAGCGTTTTGACTTTGGTCATGCGCAAACAACTGCAGCTTTGGAGGTCTTAGATAGCAGCAGCGAACAAAAACACCAAGCCTTGTGGTGACTGTGATGAATACAAGAAGTAAAGAGTCACGCATTCTCAAGTCATCTTATCCAGTGAAGCTCTTATGCTCCCTTTAGCTACTCCTCAGGAGGGGTGCGATGCTTTACTCAGTGTAGCCCAAACTATTATCCCTTTAAAAGTGTTCAGGTTGGTTTACCTGCATGCCCATGTTTCCCATCAGGGGGATCCTGTGGTCAATCATTCTTCCTCGGTTTCCTCCTCTGAAGTCGACCATTCCAAAAGGTGGGAAGCCTCCTCTTCCTCTGCCTCCTCGCATGCCTCGGCCTCCATATCGATTTTGTCTCTTCTGCCGTTCTTGTTCCTCAAACTGCATCAGATCTTGCTTGGCCTTCTCTGACAGTTCTAATGAGCGGTGGAACAGGGAAAAACAGAGAACTTGTACTACGCTGTGTGGAAATAACTTGAAGTCCATAGTAATGTAAAGCTATTACAGCGTGGAGCAAAGATTTAACATCAGAAAATATGAGTTTTCAGGATAAATATTGTACCGAGTGTTTCAGGGATACTCCTCCTGTTGCTGCCTGCATCAGCCAACCGCACAACAGCACCGTCCTTCCTCTCAGATTTAAACCGTATGCGACCAGACTCTTCATCTTCCTCATCCTCCTCGTCCGATTCCTCCTGTGTTTCTTCTTCAGGCACAGTTTCATTTTCAACCTGAGGATATTGTCAGAGGTTGGGAAACAAAAGTCACAATCAGTTACGATGTTTAACTTCACGATGGTTTGCAGTGCATCACAAAATCTGCTCTGAAGTGGAAATAATAAAAGTGTATGGTGTTACAAGGAGGGTGTCAGCATACCTCATCTGTGTCAATGACCCGAGAGCCTTCGGCTGCGTCTTCCTCCTCCTCCTCCTGCTCCTCCTCCTGCTGCTGTTGCTGCTCTTCTCCCCCTCCCGCCTCCTGCTCCTCGGGGATCTCCTCCCGTTGGACTCTATGTTCACCCAGTCGCTCATCATAGTTTTGATATTCATCATCCTTTAAAGACCACAAAGATAACACGTATCGATTAGTTAAAGTGGTAACAGGGCTTCGATAAGGATCAGCAATGGCCGACTATGTTCCAGCCAATGCTGGAAAACAATCTCTTAGTGTGTCTGTTGAAATTGAAAACATCCAATTCTGCTACGTGATGCTGTTACAATGTACGGCAAATATATATATGCATTAGGGACACGTGGATTGAGTTCAACTGACATTTTATGAAATAAGGATGTACACATTTTTTATCTAATTTGATTTGCTAAAATAAATGTGTGCTTAATGACGATATACTTGTGACAACAGATAGATATTTCAGTGAAAAATGTCAAAATCATATATAGCATGAAGGCAAACAAATGTTATGGAGAGGATTTTGGGGAGACACCATGTAAACCCCCCTCCCAGCCCAAATTACCATAACAGTGGGAGCAAGGCTTCATTACTATTCCTGGCAGCATTTGAAATTCAATGAGATGTAAATGTTTGACATGATATACAGAAATGCAGGCACGGATAAAAGCACTGCTTCCCAGTTCAATGATGGTGAAAATATCATTGACTGACTCCTTGCAAATCGCTGTTATTGGCCGCACGATAAGTTCATGAATACCGGCCGAAAACATCCTGCAGACAAACATTCTGAGAGATGACAAATCTTTTTTTTTTTTTTACTATTCCATAAGAACATTTCAGTTCATGACGAAATCATATCATATAATCCTAAATACACGGTCATTCCAGCAAACTAACAATGTCATACTTGTGGTATAGGAGCTGCTAGTCATTCTATCTGCATAACACCCTCTAACAAAATAGCTAAATAAGGTCAAACTGTAGGTCACACCATGGTGTTTGGTGTTGCGCTCCATTAACCTGCCAAACAGCAGCACATATTAATGCACAAAAAGACAAAAAAAAAACACTTTCGGCACACCAGACGAATGGACAGGCTGCCCCGAGGGAACACAACAGCTTAATCCTTTAAACTGCTCCACATAGGACTAACTGAATACCGAGCAAAAAGTCAAGGCCAGGCAGTTTAGTGACCTTGTAAACCGTTATTACGCATAATACAAATACACATCTACACCTGAAGACATTTCACAAAACACAAAATAGGCATCCACTTGTGTCAGTTAGAAGGTCACCATCTTATCTTTGTTTGAAAAAAAAAAGGAGGTGGGCCAATATATCTCTGTCAGGTGCCAAACACCATCACGCCTTGGTAAATGGACCATAACGGACATTTGCACATGGATCTGGTCTTATCTTTGATCCTCTTAGTTCTGGCTAAGAGGGAAGGGAAACGAATAAAAGGGAAAATCGCATCAATCATTAGAAAACTGTATGGTGTGTCCTCAGGAAGGTCAATAATCTTTTCACCTGCATGAGACTTTATCAGATCCAGTCTAAAGCCCGAGATAAAAGCCCCCACATTAACCTCCGCCGATTGGCAGCACATCTCGCCAACACAAAGCAGCTTCTTACTCCCTCAAAGATACAGGCCCCAAGGTCACAATGGCACACGGATTTGGAGGCGACAGCAGAGCATTACCTCATGCCAAACAAGCTGTCAACACAAACTTTGTCAGCAAGATGGAGAAATTAACTGGCAGGAAGTGATAATGAATCTAATCCTCTCCTGCCCAAAAACGCCAACCAACATCTCCTTCTCCTGAATAGATTTTCAATCCTGACTGTCCCCTCACCGAGACAAGAAAACTGATATCATCTCTTGGGAACAATGGAGTTGGACAGAAAAGGGAGGGCAGGCTGTGTGTGTGTGTGTGTGTGTGTGTGTGCATCTGCAGGCTTTTACATGCAAGTAAGCAAATGTGAGAACTCACTTGAAATTCACCATCTATGGGCTCATTGATTTGGATGTCTAGCACTTCGTCTTGGTAGCCATCGTCACCCTCCGCTACCTCTCCGGTGTAATCCATTTGGTTTTCGGGCATCTCTGTGTTGTTGTCTTGGCTGTATTCTTGTGTGTACTCTTCTTCCCCCCCATGCTGGTACCCCCCCACCTCTACATCCCCTTCTTCACAGCCCTCTGCACCCAGGTTCACAACGTCATCTGTGTAGTCTGCTGCCTGCGAGTTGTCCGGCTGGCCATAGGGTGCGCCCAAGCGGTAGGAGGCATTGAGGGTTATATCCTGACCACTGAAAACAAACAAATATTGGGACTTTGTAGAAAACTGAAATGAAGAACGGTGGTAAAATGTGCAAGATTTGGATCTTGACTTTGCCAGCTTTATAACTGAAAACACAAAAAAATAAACACATGACACTTGTCATCATTAGCTTACCTTATATTTACATCTTCATTGTCACTTTGTAAAAGGTCATCATTCAGCTCTTCGTCAGACACTTCTGAAGGATTCTGAAACAAAAATAATGGAACATTATGGTGTGCTTTAAAATACTAGTTGTGTGTGTTTGTTCATGTGTGAGGCGTGGGGGCAGGGGACCACCTCCAACCCCAAAGGATGCTCTATTCCCATGTGGTGAAGGCAATCTGGGCAGGTCAACACAGTTCTTTTTTGTCCACTGTACTTCCTCCTGCTTCACATCAACAGTTCCCCCTGTGGAGGAGCCACCTGCTTCAAGTCAACTGTTCACTACTATTTTCTAAATGTTCTACCAACACCAACACCCAATGTTTTGGGTATTATTTTCCATTTCCTGCTTGTAAGCAGAGAAACCCTACTGACAAGCCAAGTGTTTTATTGGCACCAAGGATAAAATCTAAGTAAACAAAACAGTGAGAGTTTGTATTATCTTACCTTTTTAACTGACAGCCAATCGTCCTGCAACAACTCTTCTTCCAAATCACTTTGAGAGAGAAACAACATCCAATAACAGGTTAGCTGAGTCAGATAATTGGGCAATTTATAATCTATTTATAAATAACGTCATTGTGCAATGTCAACGAGCATAACACATTTGAAAATATATTCGAATACTAAAAAAACAGGTATTTGAATATATTAATTTATATTAATTTGTGAAATAAAAGAAGCACAACCAAGGCTGTCTCACGCCCACTGAATGCATTATATCACGGGAGTCACATAACGTCACTTTAATTAATTTAAATTGAAATGTGAACATTAGTTCAAGCTGAACGAGGAATAATGCAACACCCATGACGGCAGAGAACTCGGCCATCAGCTGTGCGCCAAAGATCAGAATGGAGACATAATAATCGCTATCTTCTGACATTTGTACTTTTTAAAACAGAAAACATGGGTTTTATATTGTGAGCCATCAGCAGGTAATCTCCAGCCAGCTGTTACCTTATTTCGTTTTTTGTGGTGAAATGAGGAGGTATCGTATAGATAACTGCTGACTACAACTTTACGAATCAGCTGTTCCTTGTCCAATTAATTTACATAACAGCATTCTTTTTGTCGAGAAATCAGAACATGAGATGATTTACCTCTCTAGATCGTCATCTTCACCTCTCCTCCTGCGTGTCCGCTCAGCACCAGGTTTGTCATATTCATCAAAGCCATAATCTGCAAAAGAAAAGCTGTTTGTTTACAGAGCAATGGATTATGCTAATAATATTACCAGCCTCGTAGGTTGATATCAGTCTGTCTTACTGGCCGGCACGACTTGAAATGTACAGAGAATATTAGAACACTTAGTTGTTGATTGAGATTGGCTTGCCTCTTATGCCAAGCTGAATCAACAACTTGTGCAGCAAGTACACGAATGCCATGTATACCAACAGCATGACAAACAGTAGAGACTGGTAAAACCATCCTTGGTGTTGCGCCACCAGTAAGATAAGCATCCGTTTCCGGTTATCAATCTAATCTTAAATACGAATGCCATCACAGCACCTGCCACACCTGCCATGCTACAGTTTGATCATCAGCTGACACAGATCAACAACAACCCATCTTCCTCATGTCTCCCATAAATTCAGTTTTAATAGGTTTTGCCAATCTTGCCACTACATAACATTTTAGAACATTGAAAAGATGGGATGAATAAATGGAACAATAACATCCGCAATCTGGGATGCACTGATTCAGAGTCCAATACTGTGCTCATGTACTTTTACTCGCACTAGTAAAACTACTCCGATACAACCTCACCCAATACCATCACAGCAACATGACGTTTACCTCTCGTCAGTTGAGCCTAAGCCGCCCAGCTGCAAAGATAACCCGAGACGCAGGTTAAATCCATAATTTATTGCCAGCTGCAGAGTACGAGCGAAACAGGCAGTACCCGTTACAGCCGTTTCAGAAGAGTTAGTAGCCACAATGAATCGTGCTTTGTCGTGGAGTTAGCCCATCGACTGTATAAAATATGGACGTAGTCTCCACGACATCACCCATAGGTTTTATGAAGAGTGGTTGTGAAGCTCAAAGTGAACGGCACTAGCCGTCACCATCTTGGCAGTTACGACATAGCGTAACTCAAAACGGGCAGAGGGGGATCCTGGGTGAAGAGGAGTCGGGCCTGACAAATGCAGCAGAGAAGACAGCTATAAGCTAGCGCCCAGGTATGGCACCCACCTGTCACTCAAAGCGACCACGCCCTCAATTATGCCTAAATTTAAGTGTAAATATAATGAATTAAGTACAGTTTTCATGAATGGGGAAATTGGATATAGAGACCAAAACCTTTTTTGTTCCAGGCTGTAAACATGTTTATTTCTGCTGTGAAGTTGGGCATCTTAATATGGGGGTCTATGGGGATTAACTCTATATTTTATCTATTACAGTCAGAATATGAGGAGCATCGTGGTATTATTAAGTACTCATATTGGAACTTGCAAATACACAATTGTAAGTACTTGTGCTTGGTCTGCAAAAAAATGGTATTAGTGCCTCCCTATCCACAATTACATAATCTACAAAGTAGCCACTGTAGCTGTCCCCCCCTTTCAGAAATGGTATGGGAAACACGTTTGGTTTGGTGTTCCTTTACAATTAGCCAGCATGCACAATACCAGGAACCTGCAACTAAAAACAAAGTCAGCTGTCATTAATTCTGCTGCTGCTGCTCCATGTCAAAATGTCTTCCATGAAAAATACATAACTGGCTGTAAGATGAGGTCGTGGATCTGGCTAAGATTTAGTTTAAAACTGTTGGTCTAACATTTCAGTCTCTGAAACTTCTTGGGTTACGCAAGTCCTGCTCAGACATAACAGGTGAAGCTATCCCATAACAGGCTACGCGATGCATCCTTCAGCTAGCTACAAAAGTGCCTTGATGTGTTCACAGGCTTAGTGCACGTATTCAACCACCCCAGGTCACCTGTATAACGTTAGACTCTGACTAAAACTGACATGCCAAGTATCTTCTGATAGCTACTGCAGCCCAATGCTAATCAAAAAACGACAAAGGGCATGTGGAATAAAACCACGGCGTAAACTGCGTCATATACGGTTGCCCCCCTCAGCAATGCTGCAGCGGCTAATGTTAGCTTGATTTGAACCCCAAATGTCTGACTTTATGGACCCATTATTCCCTATAATAACGTATTTTTTACCAACGTTAACACTTCTATAAACTGTAACGTGGCATACAGGGCGCCAAAAGTAATCTCGATCAGTCATTTAAGTGATAACGTTAAACGTGTTTTCTAGCAGCTATATTAGCGTTAAGTACAAGGCTGCTAGCGTTAGCTGAATTGCTAAACTAGCAAACGCAGCTGAAATCAACCTGAAGCCGGATATTTGGACTGAAAAAAATAAAAGCTAATGGTTAGCCCGTCACTTGGCCCTGAATTAATTTGCTTAACTCGTGTGTAATGTCATTCGGCGCAAATAACTTTGCACTCGCATATTGTCACTTATTACGCTAAGCTAAATATTGGTAATAACTTGACGCTAGCGTTCGCTTTAAGTTAGTTATTTACGTAACAACGAAACGTGTCAAATGTTTGTTCAGGTTAAAGCTACTTTAGATGTAGTTAACCGTTTTTGCGGTGCAGTATTTGCATCTACCGCCAACACGGTAATGTTTCAAACCCTGTTGACATTAGCTATCGTTAGCTACAATAACTAGCTTAGCTACATTGCTAACTTAGCATTGTTGACAAATGCCGCTGGCTCTACTCACTCTGAGCGTTGGCTGACATGGTGCAAGGCGCGTCCCGCTTAGAGTTTGACTATACAACTTGAGAGAGCATTTATCTTTGGTATTCCACCGTTTTGACGGTACAAAACGTGAGACTATCAAAGGAAACAGATTCTATGCGGCAGTGATATCCATTCACGACCAGAATAGTACAAACATGGCCGAGCTGTGATGCATTGTGGGTAGGAAACACTAGCTCCCCGGTTGGTCTGCTGCTCAAAAGTGAGGTGCTTGACAGGTAAACAAAATATACTGACTGTTATAAATCGGTCACACATCTGCCCTCCACCACTGCATGCAGTGCATTACAAGTGTTTGTTGTGTAAAATGCGTTTGTTGTACAGTAAGATATGTTATACAATTGATTCGATGTTGCTTCCATAAACACGTGCCTCATAAATAGGCTTAATTAAGTGAGAACCTGACACCAATAGACGATTTAGCCTCTTCCTGCATAGCATACATTTTAAAAAATCTAGTATAGCACAGGTAGGCTTTTTCTACACATACAGTAAATGCCTTGCACTTGCATTTTGTATGCTTCTTGTAATTCTGAGTACAGCTAAAGGCACACAATACAAGATAACAAATACAAAAATCATAAAAAGCATACTAGTTGGCTAGTTCTACTTCATTCAATTCTGTATGTATGAGGTTGGGATCATCATCATGCAGGGATGACTGGGTCAGGGCTCATAGATGAGAAATACTGTAAGTTGTTACTACAATGTGGTTTCTGCCCTGGCAGATTTTGTGTAGATTTGTGTGGAGGTGCAATGAGTTTGACACATCTGTATGGACATATCTTAACAAACTCTAACCAGTCCCACCTTTCTTTACGACTGCACCCTCCAAAATCTACACACAGACGGTAGAAGTTCAGCATCGCGTAAAACACGTAAAACACTAGCTGCTTTTGTGTCACTGATTTCAGGCCTTTTATGTCACTAATTCCAACAGCCAGACATCAACGGAAATGTGGGTATGCAATAGGTGGTGGGAGACTGGATGTACTCCAGGATGGTCCTTTTTAAAGGTCCATCTGGCCAGTTGGGAACCTCGCTCGGTTATGAAGGGCAGCTTCAGAGCACTGTCCTTATCACCCATAATTTGTATGGTTATACTGTACACTGAAACACACACACAGCTATGTTTATGCTCTGATGTCTTGTGCAACAGCAAGCACAAATAAACCAGTAGAACATCAAACAATCTGAGCTAACCCCATAAAGCAAATCAAATCAAAGTGAATAACACAAATTTTACTTTTTCAAGTATTCAACTTTGCTGTTAACATTTATACCAAATTAATTATTGTGAGCCTTTTCCAGTGGACGAGCGCTTTAATAGGAGATCAAGCCAACACCTTCAGAGATGAGCAAGACTGGACTTGGAATGGGCAAAATACAATCCAGTTGTTTTCTTCTTTTTTTACAATAATATGAAGTTATAAAAATGAATTAAAAGGAAGTAAAACACTCTCTATAGGCTCAGAGAATACCCAAAGAAGCTAAAAAACAAAAAGCCCCCAACCTCTGTTGTCGTTCCCTATTTAAACTTTCTTACTTCGAGCATCTTTAACCTCTAGATCCATATATGGTTAACAACTTTCTCATCACCAAGCTTTTGGAGGACACTTTGTACGGAACTCCTTTTATTGTATGACACTCTTGTTCTTTGAGATACCATTCAGTTGGTGACCCTCCTTTGAAGGTTTCTCTCTGGCCTTCATTGGTTGAGCATCTCAGACGGATGTTTCTCTAACCGTTGTCATTGCTGCAATATCTACACCTACCTGGTTCCTATGCAGACTCTGACAATGATCAGGCCAGAGTAAGTTAAAGAAAAAAAATGAACAAAAAAAAAAAAAAACTTTCTTACATATTTCTGCCATTCAGTGAATATAAAGACACACAGGATTACATATTGATTAATGAAAGAACCTCACACATGCGTTAAAATCATTAAAATAACACAAAGACATGTGATCATATATGAGGAATAAACTCATATCTTAAACTAATTTACTCTTACCTTAATAAAACAAGGTTTTTGGTTGGAGCATTCTTACATTTGACACACCACAAATCTTGGCAGTTTTATTCAAGACTCAAGTCACTCCTTTGATTTTTTATAAGGTCAAAGCTTTTTATTTCTTTACAAATCTCTGACCAAGTTTTTTACCGCTTTCGTGCTCAAGTCTGGGAGTCAAAGTTGTTGTCTGATTCTACTGCCAGGCTACAGCAGAATTCTAACCCCTAAATTCCTCCTGGGCTGACAAACGTCAACAAAGACCCCGAGAGACACCAAAGAGAGGTGAGCAGTGAACTGTAGCCTCATTGTATTGGCTCATTATGGGCTCCCGCAGTGAGGAAGAAGCTATTTTGTAGCACCACAAGGTCAATATCTGAAAGCCAGGGCGATGGAGGGGATCAGCCATGAGATTTTTAATTTGAGAAAGCGTAAAGGGGTTTTCCTAGTGAAAGACAGTGTGTGAATTTTAATGGACTGTGGGGATTGTACAGAAAAGATGTTGAGGTGGCAGATGCTTTCCTTTTTCATTGAAAGTAATAGAAACGCGATTTATCCACGGTATTGCAATCTTCCATACACTTCCTTGTCATGTGCAGTATAGTGTACAAGTTAAAACAACAATAACACATGTTATAACATGTTTTTAAACTTTGAAAAGCCTGATCTCTCTGATTCCTAAACTCGTTTTTTTCATGCATACACATACACAATCTTGTGTATCCAGTTTTTCTCCTTGAGTTGATGCAATTGCAAAGCATATCAATATGTATTCCACACTTTATTAAATATATCCACTCTAAACAGCTGTTTCCAAAACTGTATGAGATATTCATGCTCCCTGGATTCACTTTCCCAGGAATTTTGATTTTACTTCCAAATAGATGTGAAAAGAGGAGCTGTCACACTCTATTATGGTGACCTCAATGATTCTGTGCCCTATCCAAATCCAGTGGTTTTCCATAACAATGCAAATTAAAGGGTGCAAAGCCGAAGGAGACAAGACTTGTTATTTTCCATCCAAAGGACAGAAGTTCTTTACAACAAACTTGTCCGTACGCCTTTAAATGTAATTCAAATGGCAACTTGGAAGTTGTTTTGTGTGAGACAATAAGCTTTTTGCTGTCAATTCACGAGGGTCAGCAACTGTCCTGAGAAAGTGATGCTGGAGCTATGGAGCATATAGCCCTGCAATAGATCATTTTGTAAATGAAAGATTTAATCAATTAATTTTTTACATCATTGTGTTACGATGTAGACTATCATCATCATCAAGTTGGAGCAGTTTTCATAACTAGGGGAGGTAAAATGAATGTGTAACATGGCCATACCCCAGAACTATTAGCTTTATACATTCCAACAGGAAGATTTGCTTCTGGCAGATGTGTAGATGTCTGTTTCAATTACATAGACTAAGGTTTGAATCCCATATTTTTCAAACTATCTATCTATCCATCCATCCATCCATCCATCCATCTATCCATCTATCCATCCCTCCATCCATCTAGCCTACTTAAATGCTATAGGACCATTGTTGTAATTTCACTCAACTGCGTGGAGTCATGTGCAATATGCATTGACACACTGGCTGCTGCATATATGACATATACGCAATTTTAACTGGTAGTTCTGGTGGTTTAAACCAAAGGAAAATCTGTGTGCTTACTTTATTACCTGAGGTCATATTTATATGCTTTTGTATGGTATGTAAAATCATACATATTTGATAAGAATAAGAAAAAGGCAGATTATGATTATTTTTGTTCATTGCATTTAGACCATGTGATGTACAATTAATTGTATGATTTATGTACATATCCGGGGTAACAATATGTCTTTGAAATCAATAATACCATGCATCTGCAGTGAGTGAATAGGCTGCAGTCAGTGACCCACATCTCAGTGCAATGAACGGCTTAACTCAGACTGTTGTTTTATTCAGTGCACTGTCAACAGACTGTCGAGGAGGCGGAGGGGCGGGGCTTATACATATCGGCCACTGTGATTGGATACTGGATTCGGCTCCTCTTCGCCGTTGGCCGCTCGCGCTGTCACTCTGGGATCTGTTATCGCCGCTTCCCGCGCCATTCGGCGTGCACGCGCAAGACAAGCAGGCACGTTCCCGCTTGGAGACTGTCTGGAGTCTGTCTGAAATTGATAAAATTGGAGATGGAGTTTTACATCTGTTTGCACATTTACGAGGAAGCCGCTTGTTGGAAATGGGATTTTTTTTTTCCGCTCTCCTCCTCAAACGCCTTCGCCCACGAGTCGCCACGCTAAGCCAAAAAAATATTTGACAGATAAACGCTGTGAAAGTTTTTTTCTTCTGCAGTCTACCAGCAGACAGCTCTTTATGCACAGGCAGGTAAGGCAAGCGCCTTGAGTGCAAGTTGGCTGAGATACAGTCGATACTGCAGCGTTAAACATTCGCCAGAAATTGTGTTTATTTGTGAACGTTATAGCTGCGGGGGTTCTGGGTGAACAAACGGTTTGCTAGCTTAAAATTTAAATTATCCTGTTCTACCTCATATACAGTGTTTGGTTCTACCGCAAACTGGAAGTGGTCTGATTCATGTGTGCCATTAAAACAAGGCGTATGATGTGCGGTTCCGTATTTATTAGGAATTTCACTCTAGCTATGTTGTTTTGGAGACTTGACCTCATTCACACTACTTCAGGAGGATGCGCGCAGGTGACGCACCTTTGCTGACGTGTGGTTGTTGATTAACACCACGTGCGCTTAAGCTACCTGTTACTCAGCATGCACCTGAGGGGGGAGGGGGTGAAGACACACCTGTCTCTTGAGGACTCATCAATTCTCTATTTTTTTTTTTAACGCTTTCAGCCATACCACCTTAATTAGTGATTTTAAAAGCGTCGAACAATACATATTTCAGACACACGTGCAGATAACTAATCTATGTGGCTCTTGAGGTGAGGTAATATGAATCCTTTATGAAATGTTTCCTTCCTTTCCTGCTCTTTATGCTCTGCAGGAGATCAGCCGTCAGCCCTGGAGTTCAAGAGGAGTGCATCACCCAGAGGGCAGTCTGCACAGCTCAGAAAGGTTGGTACATATTGTAGGTTTAAATGGTTAAAGTGGTGTTGGGGGGGATATTGCATAGATTAAATGGGTTTTTGCATTTATTCTTTTGTCATTATTACATCTCATGCAACAATTTTGTAAACATATTTTGAATTAAATGCTGTCAGTATCACCTTAAACTTCACACAAGTAGCTTCAAAGTACAATGAAACATTTTCCACAATCGAACGGCATCGCATAAAGCAGATGTGTCTGCTGTCTAAATGTTTAAATCTGTAGTTATGACAGAAATATTTAAATGCCATTTTGACTCTGGCTGCGTCGTCACTTTAAATGGACAATTCTACATGATTTGTGCATTGTTTTTGCGTATTCTCTGCGGTTGAACCTTGCATATTTGACATATTTTGAAATGCTGCTGTGTTCACCAGAGAATGCTGTTAGAACAATGCTATTCCTATCCAATTTCCTACCCAAATTCCTGAGCTTTTGTATTTCGTTGTGCAGAAATATATGTTATATACTTACAACAATGTTTAGGTAATACGTGTGCAACAGTGTGTACTTGATGTGCTGCTGTCTCACACTCGTCTAGACGCTTTTGCTCTGTCACTGCAGTTGTCAGCAAACAGTGCAGTCATATGACTCGGGGAGGCTTCCTCCCTCCTCCCTGTGTCTCCTCTTTTGGGGCAAGATGGCTCCTATAGCATTGTTATCCATGACGTATGAATTGATGTGAGCGGAAAAAAAACATGGGAAACATGGTGATACATTATACTTCAATGAAACAGCTGCTCAAGCAAATGTTGCACACAGACGGGACAGTTAATAACTCTTTAAAAGGTTTTTCTTACTGAAATTATTTTGTTGCGTTTAGTCGGTTTGGATGATTATTTATTTAATCACTAGTTTCCATCCTTTGTCAACGTGTCCCAGTAACTGTAAATGTTATGGTGTTATTCTTGACTTGATGGAAGTTTATTTCTTACTTGTTTCTCGACCACCGCGTGGCTGTCTGTTTTTGGGAAGTTTGGTAGCCATTTTGTCTGATTCATCACTGCCAATCGGTGCCGAAGGCTTCCAGGGTATCCCAAAATGTGTTGTGAGCAAGTATAGTGTCTCTGCATATTATATAAATGTCAGCGGTGGCTTCTGATTTTTTTTTTTTTTAAATATTTGTATTCTGTATATTAGCTGAATACCGTATCTTGCAACTATACATACTTACTAGGCATCGCTAAGACAATTACAATATCTTATAGTCAGTTTAAAATAAATAAAAATAAAATCTATTACCCGTAATTACACTTTTTTTTTTTTTTTTAAACGTGGCGAAGCACATTTGAAGGCAACAGTGTAAACACAAGTATCATTTAATGCAATGTGTGGTGTTGATAATGAAATTAGCAACTGTAAAAACTGTTTATATTTAGTATAAGTATATATTCTGTGTCACTGAATCTAGATTAGACAAGTTAGAAGGGAAAGTGTATTGTAACAGGTTACATTTTCTGCGTTATTGTCACTTCTAGCTTTGTTGCTTGAGACTCAGTTAGGTGCTATCTTAATGTCGTCATTTCTATCGTTCAAAATTGTAAGCAACATCATGGTAGATGAGCCTCTTTTGTCCACGGAAGGTTCAGTTTCATGAACAGCAACCTGCCACTTAATGCATTTGTTGAAGCACCGTTTTACTTTATTATATACATGTTTACAGCTTTAAGAAGTCAAATATTTTACACAGTAATGAGAAGTGTTTTTAAAAAGTCCTTTTATTGACAGTTCACTGATTCAGTGAGGGAGTGTACGGACCGTATTAACTTCTGAAAGTGCTCCTAGCCTCACTGTGACATTACAAGTTACTTTCACTCAGTGAGTCTTTGATGTTTATCTGTTTGCTGTATCAGTGACCAGCCTGGACAGATCTCTTCATTATCACCTGCTTAGTGCATTCTCGTCTGCTGTCAAACACCTCCCTCAGGCTCGTCTTGTCATATTCCTTAAAGGTGTTTGAGTGCTTGTTGATTTTGTTTTCAAGGAGGAGTACAGAAGCACTTAAAGCATGCCCTATCTTTGCAGGCCTGTCCCAAACCTGATGGATGACGACGATTAGAATTGCAGCTAGAAAGGTAAGAAAAGTGCATCACAAAATCACACTTTTCAGTTATGCATACAGTTAATTTGATAGTGGTCATCGTCTGTTATTTATAGCAGTGACCACAATACTAATACCTGCATACAGATTAAGCATAAAGTGATGCATCACTTAAAACTACCTTCAAACAATTCCTATCCATAATTTATACGGCCTAAATTAGATATCTACTTTAAAGTAAATGTAATGACAGCAGCTCTTTCTTTTTTTTTTTACTAGAAACTACTTTTAACGATTGTTTGCTTTCAAATCGTTGCATTAATTCTTGCAACATTGTATTTGTAACTTTATCACAATCAATTTTAGCTTGAATGTGTCTCAAGCCAAATCGACAAAACAAAAAAGCGTTTTAATTTAATTCTCGTCCTGTAGTTTTCTTTCTGTTTTTCTTTTATTTACCTCGTCTGTGACATGCGTGTCTAGGCCAAGCCGCACAGTTGACGCAATGTTTTCTCTCTCTTGTTTTCACAGGAGATCCGTGGTTCCTTGCAGCCTGTCATGCCCTGATGTCTTCAACGCTGGAGTGTTTCCGCCCAAATGGTAAGATCTGTGTTGACCTGTTCATTAAAGCACTTTTGGGCACGTTAAAAGTTGAGAAAAGCTATTCCAGGAATGCTTTAAGGTGCTGCAGTTAGTGAATGTGATTGCCTGAGGGAAATATCAGCCGGCTGCACAGATCAGTCTTTACAGAGGTTGAGCTCTGGCTTGCGAAGCCAATTCTACATGATATGATGATGAGAAATGGCCAATCAAATGCAGTGCTGTCAGTCACTCGTCAGCAGCAATCGTTTTTTATTACCACTGATTTGTGATCTCTTCATAACATAATCATGGGTATGGATCTCGTAACTTTCACTTGAGGCTTAGCTGGAAAATGCTGATGCAAGACGGTCCCTGAATCCTCATCCTGTCTTTCTATTGGCTCGTTGTCTCCACCCACAGTACAGTCACGAGGTCTAACATCATGATGATGTCTCGAGAAAACAGGCTTTCATCCAGGCTCTAATGCTGCCTGAGCTATAATGAAAATATTTCTCTGGTTATTTCTGTGCACATGCAGAGTACAATCTGAGCTTGTTGTTAAAGCATTGCTCTGTGCTCTAGCAGCACCTGCCATTGTCTGCTGTAAAGCGCTGGGTTGTTTATCTCACCAGCCTCTGCTGCGTAATGACGCAGTTTCCTTTGACATTGGTGTGGCATATTTTAAATCAAGGCCTTCACTGTATTTTAAGGAGACTCCTGGCAGCCTGCCAAGACATGGATCCATTTGCCGGTTCCCTCCTAAGAGCACAACTGCACAGCTGTGACCCTTAGCCGGTCCTAGCCGTTGCTAACTCAAAGCCAGCGGCGTCCATTTTAGGTTTAGGCAGTGGCAAAAGAGATGAACTATAATGTAGCTCGTAGAGAAGGAACATCTGAACTCGCAGCGTTATTCCAGTTAGGAAACGGCACGACTTTTGCGGCCAAAGCAAACTTTTCAGTGGAATAGATTTGAAAATAGTACTGAACAAACGGGTACATGTGAAAAACACTTGCATTGAATTGCGTTTTATCATTTTAAAGGTTTACCTTTTATCAGCTGTAGCGCGGTACCTTTTTTTTTGGGATGAGTATTTTGATTTCAACATAAAATGTTTTATTTTCGTGCCATTAACATTACCTTACAGATGCTTTCGATTGAATATTTAATAATACTGAATATGCACGTATATAAAGAAATAAACAAAATATTGATGCTTTCATTTAATTCAATGCGTATAATTATATACCACTGCAAAATAATATTAACTGCACGAAGTGAAATTATTTTAAAATGTTGTGTGCGATACAGCTTGTGCTTTTTATTTCAATTTTTCATTGCGAGCTTAATTTAAAACAAGGTGATGAGTAAGACATGCAGTGAACTTGAATATTAAAATATTTTCAAATTTAAATGAAAAGATAATTTGATACGTTTGATGATTTGTTCTTGTGAGTTGGAATATTCACCAGCTGAATATTAAACGCATTATTGGTCCTCAACGCAGGTAAATTGTGTTTTACAGTATTTAGAAAAAACTGACAAAGACTTTGAACATTTTAAATATGAAGCCGTTTTTATTTGAACGAGTCGGGCGTCGTAAACATTATTTAATACATTTTTTACGCAGTTATTCACAAGGTAATAAACAACATTTAAATGTCACTGATTTGTACGATATTATGCGTATATTTTGAAGTTATTTCAGTCTGCAAATATTGCGATTCCATTTTTTATGTATTAAGCTAACTATATACATGAAATGTAAAAAATATTTTACTCCATATGTTTATTACGATTACTGAGAATAAAAAAGAAATTGACGCGACGTATAATGCTGTATTATTTGTTAGTTGTTTTGCCTTTTGGTCGTCTTTAAAGACACTTTTACGATAAAGTGGATAACAAGAAATTTAAAATCAGCCCATTGCAACATTTATTTCAAAGTACAGTATATTTTGATGTAGAGCTGCTCACTTGACTCACTGAAGGGTTGAGGTGACCTCTGCCCTCTTGAATACTTGTTTTCCTCCACCGTTAAGACCTCGTGTGAAAGCCACACTGTGTTCTGATACCTCGTAACACAACACAGGCTGTCAGGATGATATTAAGCTGGGCCTCTGCTCTGGTGCCATGGAAATGGAGAGAGAAAAGGCACTTTGGGTTTCTGCATGTGTTGGAGACGAGACAAAAACCTATAGATTAATGTTGAGTATATCACTACTTTTTTTACCTATTGTTTTGCACACCCTGTTGACCTTTTGTAGATAATACAAAGGGTTAAAGTTTACTTCACGATATTGTGAGAAGGCAGTGTGCACTACCAAACAATTGCAGCTGTTGTCAGGCAGATTAATATCCTGATTGTATCAAATAGTTCTACTTCAGTTCCCCACAAATGCTTTTGCTAATATGCTATATTGTTTTTTTGTTTATATCTAATATTTTTGCCGATCAGTTACATTTGAGTATGTTTCTCTTATACTGTATTCATGATGTCCTAATATTAGAATAACAGGAGAGACTTGCTTATGGGGTGGATTTTACAAGCTATCTTTCTGAGCTATACAGTTGATCTTGGGCCAACAGTAAGATCTTTGCCTGGTGATAGCAGACCTGTGTGTATCATTAAAACTACCACAACACACACCATTCACTGGCTGAGCAGAGGTTTTGAATTTCAGCTGCAGCCACACCATCAATATCAACGTCACATGAATATTAGATCCTCATTAGAAGAAGGAAATTGCACAGCGACTATTGTGTAAATGTCGATTGTTAAAACGCTCATTTGTGAGCATTGTGAAAGGTAAGTAAATAACTTCTGCAGTGTTGTGTGACTGCCGCGTGTTTGCCTGAATTTGTTCTCCACCGTTCGTGAGCCAGCCAGTCCTAAGATGTGCATGGGCTGCATGTCCGTTCCCACTCAGCTGCGTAGCATAGACAGCTCCAGCAATACTTCCTGTTTTAATTTGACTGCAAATCCACCGCCGACTTTGAAATGGAGTGTGCTCATCTATTGCACCCTCGTAAACCGTACAAAGAAGGCTGTAGGCCTGGGTGACCACTGTTTGACTGAGGTGCAAGGCTGCATGCCTGCTTAAACTGAACAGCAGCCTGAACAAGCACTCACTCTCTGGGAAGAAACTTCAGACCTGAGATGAACTTCTGCTTCTTTTTTTTTTTTTACCTAACTCTTAACTTTCACTGAGTTCTCAGCACAAACCGCTGCAGATGAATCGGTGTCATCTAAGTTACCATTTTCTCACATAACGGTTGCATAAACAGTCAGCATTTAACTTACTGCTCAATGCGTTAAGGTGGTGTCTTTCATTAGAGAAGCTGGGTCAGTGTTGACGTCTGTCTGGACTTTATTCTCAATTAAAGGTTAAAAAAAACAATGTTTTAACCTAAAAACGTTGGTGAAGATGGGTCAATTCACTGTCAGTTGTCTAACCAAGGTCTACCTTTCTCTCAGCCAGGGTTTTATGCAGGTCAGTGAAGTAAATAGTGTCCTTGTAACTCTAGTTACTATATAGAGCTTGACCAATACTGGATTTTAGAGCTTGATGTCGATATTTGGAAGTACAAAAAAATGTAGGCGTACAGAAATGCTTCTAATAATAATAATAATAAATAAGCATGAATAAATTTGTTTTCTACACAATTTAATCATGATCAATCAAATTCGGTTGTCTAAGTTATGGTGCAGTTGTAAAATAGAAACAGGGTTTTTGGGTAAAATGTTTCTATTCTTATTTTCCTCTCTAAAAAAAGTACTCTGAACATGCCACCCCATTAAAATGACCTTAGTTTAGGAGCTTTACTGAAAGTTTCCTTCCAAGTTGGATATGTGAGACTTGAGGGCGTGCTTGCATTTTTCCCTAATTGGAGCTTATTTTAACACACCTGGACACACCTTCCACTTTGACGTTTGACCTTTTTGTGAATTAAGACGGCAAAGCAGAGTTTGAGTTGGTCGACCCTGCGGTACATCATAGCGAGGGGAGGCTGCGCCACGACTAATTAGTAAATCGCACTTCTCTCTAAGGTGAAAAAAAAAAAAAAAAAAGATTTCCTCTGCGGGGCGGTTGGGGGTTGAGTAAATACCCACCTGCTCCAAGTTGCAGTAACCTAATAAGTCTCTCTGGACTTTGAAAGTGAATATTTCATATTTCACTGATCTCCAACAGCTTTTCTGCATGTCTCATATTTGACTCTCCATAAGCCATCTAAGATGGGTAAAGGGGAAACACACTCTCTCTTTCCTGCCACACAATGGCATGGAAAGGTCAGGCCTAATGAAGTCGGGGGTGTGACCCCTAGTATTCAGTGACTTTGCATGGGCCTCCATCCTACCGCTGCAACCATGCCGCTTAATCCCTTTTTGATCCTAATTGATAGGCATTAACATGATCCTTATCCAGGAGCTGTGTTTTGTCTTCCACAGCCCTTCTCTCTGGGTGTCGGTGACACAAAGTGTGAAAGCGTTAAACCAAATGTGAAATTGATATTTTTCATGTTTGTGTGCTTAAATTTGGCAGTGTTTCTAAACACTCACACAAAAGTGGCCGATGTTCAGGCTTTGCCCTTTGAGGCTCTTAACAGGACTTAGCACATGACCCCTGGAATCCGACTGTGATGTGAATGGTACCAGCCCATTTCCAGTCTGTTGTCCTTAGGGTCCTTTCATCTTCATCGCTAGGTGATTACCGCCTTTAACTGTTAACTAATTACCCTCTTTAAAATGTTTGCACCGACTTGTATATCACTTTTATGACCAAAGTACAGGAGTTGTACCAGTTCCTTACAGCTTTATCTTCCTCTGTTTACATTCTATGATCTTCATACTGCAAACCCCTATAACCCTTAATTGAATTAGCAATCATTGATATTAATTAACTGTTTACTGGTAGTCACTAGACCCTAATGAAACATTGCTCGTTATAGCCTTTAGTTATGCTTCAGTCTAGCATTTAGAGGTGGTGCTTCACTTTACTAAAATATATTACACCTCCCT